CTCTCTGTTAATGGAATGCACAAGACACAGCAGCGTGCCTCAAGATGCGTCTCGAGGAGGTCAGGTGACATTCATTGGACTGTGGGAACTATGTATTCCTATTGAATTGTGTTTATTTTTAGTTTTAAAACATGATTTTTTTATTTCTTTCGTTAATAATTTATCATGTGTTGGAACATGGATGTATTATACAAATACAGTATATAAAGACATGACCTTATTATTATTAGTTGGTTATCAGGATTTATTTTTAGCATGAAGTGCTTAGCTTCTGCTAAACCCGTCCTTCTACTGCCCATCTAGTGTTCAGATTTCGTAATGACTGGTCTATTGTAAAGATTAGTTTAGATATTAAACACACACATCACATCAGGACTCTCTCCGGTTTTCCTCTGCTCTCTCTCTCGCATCGCTCTCTCTCTGTTTTTTTTAGGCAAGGCAAGTTTATTGTATTGCACAATTCTTACACAAGGCAACTAAAGTGCTGAACAAAATATAGAAGAGCATAAATAATCACAGTACCATTAATAAGAAAGATAAAAATATAAAATCCCACAGTTGTAAGCACAGCTAAACAGAACTGTTTTTAACCTGGTTTTAAACATTGTCAGAGAGGAGGCCTGTCTCACAGCTTCTGGAAGATTGTTCCTGATTTTAGCAGCATGAACTGAACAGCAGCTCCCCATTTTAGTTCGGACTCTGGGCCCTAAAAGGAGGTCCAGTCCTGTGCTCTTCTCAGAGTCCTGGGCTGGTTCATATGGGACTAACATGTCATCTAATATATTTTGGTCGAGGCCATGGAGGAACTTGTACGACATGCAGAGCTTTTTAAAGTCTATTCCGACCACAGGAAGCCCGGTGCAGGAGACCTGAGAACTGGACTAATATGATCGTACTTCCTGGTTCTAGTCAAGCCGCAGTACATTTTGAATGTAACTAGCAGCTGTTTACAGCCTGTTTGGACAGACCTGTGAGCAGGCCATTGCAGTAGTCTAAGCCTACTGGAGACAAATGCAAGGATATTGAATCTCCAACGTCTGCTTTAGACACATATGTTTTGATCCTGGCAATGTTTTTTAGATGGTAAAAAGCTGCTGAATGTTACTGAGTCCAGTATTACCCCTAGATTACTGACGCTTGTTTGAAGGTTTTTTTACAAGTTTCCGTGAATAGTAGCTGTTGAATCCAAGTGAAAGGTGTACTGTTTTCAGTCTGTCTTTTCTTTGTCACCTGTGGCATAAAGAAATGTATATAGTTTCATACCTAGGCACCTCAAAGTCCTAACAAAAGCAAAAATGTAAACAAAATATCACATAAATAAGCACCGCCCAAAAAGATTGAGATAAAGTCCCTCATTTGAATGCTCAGAGAAACTAAATATTTTAACCTGGATTGAAAATTTTGGAGAAGAAGCTCACATTTTCAAAAAAAACTGTTTTTTTTGAACCGCTGCCTTGCCATGTTCGTCCTTACTCTTGGGACGAGCAGGAGGCCAGTCCTTTATTTCGCTCCTCAGAGTCCCAGCATAGAGGCCATTCCCTGTGCTCTTTGGAGTCACTTCAAGAGGGCCAGTCCCTGTTGCTCTCCGTCAGGGTCCCAGCGGAGGCCATCCCTGTGCTCCTCATAGTCCCAGCCAAGGAGGCCAGCCCTGGCTCCTCGAGTCCCAGCAGTAGGCAAGACCCTGTGCTCCTCATAGTCCCGTTGGTTCAGATGGTACTAACCTACACCTACTGCAGTGTAAAGACCCGTTCACCCTTCACCATGTTCCAGATCGTCAGTACATCCTCCATGGTAACTTCTACTTCCTCTTGGCTTGTTAGGTTTGGATCCAACATTCTTATTATAATTGTTTAGCTTTTTCTCTTTGCTTTCGGATCTGTTTATTGTTGTGATATGGCCATTGTAGTGGGCAGTGTCTCCATATGTTTCCCAAAGTTTTTAAAACATGAAGTATCTCTCTTGCTGGGTCCTCTGGAGTCTGACCGAAGAGAGTGCACCTGTGGAACTGGAATCACCCGCAGGACATGCCTACAAAGGAAGGACAATGTTTTAAGACAAAGAATTAAGAGATCCTTTATTTTGTCCAAACATGGGGAAATACAGTGTTGAATCACCAGTGAGAGCAGCAATGACTAAGCACAAGATAAATGTAGTAATACCTCAAAACGTTAAAAGTACACATACAATCTCTGACATAATAAAAAAAAAGTTTATATCTCTCACTTTAGCAAGAGCCTTTCCAACATATATATTGTAATTGTTTGCCTTGTCAGAAAACAAGAAAATAGGGAAAAAATATTTGAAGTGAACTGGTAAAAAACTGAAGCGAAAAAGATAGTTGCACAATGATGGAGTTTTGTGACCCGCCCCTTCACTCTTGCTCTCCACTCCTTCTCTACCCTCTCTCTCACTCACACAAGACAAGACAACTGAGACGGAGCAGACCAACAGGTGAGAGGCATATTAGAACAAATTAGAAAACACAATATCTTCTATCTACATCTCTCCTCTGGACTCACTATCAGGTCTCTCTGTGGCCTCTCTCTCTGGTCCTCTCGTCTGGTCTCTCTGTGGTCTCTCCTCTGTGTGTCTCTCTCTCTGCTCTCTGTGGCCTCTCTATCTGTGGTCTCTCTGTGACCTCTCAATCTGTGGTCCTCTCTTGACCTCTCTATCTGGGGTCTCTCTGGTCCTCTCTCTCTGTGACCTCGTTCTATCTGGGGTCTTTTCTCTCTGGTTGTCTCTCTCTGGTCTCTCTCTGGTCTATCTCTGTCTGTCACAGGTCTCTATCTGTGGTCTTTCTCTCTGTACTCTGTCTGGTCTCTATCTGGGGTCTCTTTGTTCTCTCTCTGGTTCTGTCACAGTCTCTATCTGGGGATCTTTCCCTCTGACCCCTCTCACACTCTCTCTCTGGTCTGTTTGTTTTATTTAATTAAATATTAGTTAATTATTATTATGCTGAAGTTAGAGATTTTATCAATATTTTATATAACATATAAAGGTATTGATAATTCATCTGGTGCTGTGTGCTCTTCATTCCTACTGTTCTGTCACTGATGATGCAACACTGAAAATCCGACTGTGGGACGAATATACGGAACTCTTAATCTTTATCATCTCCCACAACTCTGTGATTATTCCCGAATCTTCGAATGTATTTGTTTTTTCGTGTGATGATCTGAGTCTAGAGTTTAATTTCCTCATTCTTAATCAGTCTTTATTATATATAGTACACAGTGTTACTTATACAGAATGATGATACATATTTACATATATGCATATGATTGATCCATTTACAATTATACAGATTAAGAGTCGAAAGAGTTGAGTAATATAACCGTTAAAATTTTATTAGTTACATCTCTCCATCCATGGCTCAGAGGGGAAATACTATAGATAGTGGGGGAATCCACATCGACTCAAGCCCTGACTTGCATGTGCCGTGTGTGTGTGGCGTGTGTGTGTGTACGTGTGCGGTGTGCGTGTGCGTGAGTGTGTGGTGTGTGGTGTGTGCGTGCTGTGTGTTAAAACAAAAGCAGAACTGTACAGATAAGTGTGTATACCAGTTAGAGAGCATCCCATCTAGACATTACAGCTGATAATTTAGAATCCCTTGGGGTTTTTTCTTGAATCACTCTAGTGTGGGAGTTTCTCCCAAGTGGACGCTGCCAGGAGTCTCAAACCAATAGTAATAAAATATCCCACAGCCGGAATACCAACTTGTATCTCTCTAAATCTGTGAAACTCCAGAACCTCCTTGCATTGCTCTGTATGTTTCATGTCTGTCTTCTGGACCAATGCTCTAGTGTTTTTTAAAATCATTGCATTTCTTGTGTCAGAACTGAAAGTTTAAGTCTTCTGAGATAGCTAACTGTTGCGATTAGGGAATTGCAAAAAAAATTGAATTGGAAATGAATTATGTGCACTTCCAATGTAGAAAACTGTGAGTCTAAGATTAATTTCTCGGTACATTATACACTTAAGCTTGAATCTGAATATTATCAGGCCTTTCTGGAGGACACCTGTCTTGATCACCATCTTACAGAAACACCTCCTTAAGATAACCATAATAATATTTCAACTTATATCTCTGAGAGCAAGAGAGCAGTGACAGACACACCCACGATGTGAAGGAGAGGTTTCACAGTTTCTTTCTTCCTGCTGCAGTCAGACTGACACTGAGAACTGCTGACACTAGTACAAGTGACCATCCATCTGCAAATAGTAAAGTTTGTAATCATGTGCAATATGCAATACGGCAATTCCCAGAGGGTCCCCTTAATGTCCCTTTAACTGACTTGATTATCCAGCCATACACTTTACACCACACACACATACTGCATACTTGATACTTGCTGCTCTTATGTTAGGCATTTACAGCTAGCTAAGAACCATAGCAGCTGCTTATATATATAATTTTGACATTACCCCACTGTGGACGAAAAAATGTTCTCTCATCTGATAGTGCTTATTGTGGACACTCAGCTCAGACGCTCAAAGCCTTATTTACCGCTGTTACCGTCTGCACTAGACCGCTGCAAATAAAGACTACCGACTTTATTTTAATTGCACCAAAAAGTATTAACCCAGTGGTCCAGACTAAAACCCTAGACTTGTTTTATCTGGGCTTGTTCTCGCCCTGGTATCAAATCCATTTCTCTTCCTTTCTTAACTAAACTTGTACTAAACCTAAAATGATAGTGTTTGAAGGCTAAATGTTGTTGCCAGCAACACTTTTTACCCTCAGGACTACGCCATAGGGCCCTGGGGCGGAATAGAAGTTTGGAACTACATTTAACAGTTGTGAAGCACCTTAACTGCACATAGCACTTTTATACAAACTATTGGCAATTTACCGCATATTTGCACTGAAACTCGCTTAGTGATGTCCCTCTTTCTTGTTCTGTTATCTTCAATGTTTTAACTTTGTCTGCCTTGTCTGTATAATGTGAATTTTTATAATGTAAAGTTGATGGAGGGGGTGAGGACAGGGGGTGTGGTTGATGGAGGGGGTGAGGACAGGGGGGGGTGTGGTTGATGGAGGGGGTGAGGACAGGGGGGTGTGGTTGATGGAGGGGGTGAGGACAGGGGGGTGTGGTTGATGGAGGGGGTGAGGACAGGGGGGTGTGGTTGATGGAGGGGGTGAGGACAGGGGGGTGTGGTTGATGGAGGGGGTGAGGACAGGGGGGTGTGGTTGATGGAGGGGGTGAGGACTAGGGGGGTGTGGTTGATGGAGGGGGTGAGGACAGGGGGGTGTGGTTGATGGAGGGGGTGAGGACGGGGGGTGTGGTTGATGGAGGGGGTGAGGACAGGGGGGTGTGGTTGATGGAGGGGGTGAGGACACGGGGGTGTGGTTGATGGAGGGGGTGAGGACAGGGGGGTGTGGTTGATGGGGGGGTGAGGACAGGGGGGTGTGGTTGATGGAGGGGGTGAGGACAGGGGGGTGTGGTTGATGGAGGGGGTGAGGACAGGGGGGTGTGGTTGATGGAGGGGGTGAGGACAGGGGGGTGTGGTTGATGGAGGGGGTGAGGACGGGGGGTGTGGTTGATGGAGGGGGTGAGGGACAGGGGGGGTGTGTGGTTGATGGAGGGGGGTGAGGACGGGGGGGTGTGGTTGATGGAGGGGGTGAGGACAGGGGGGGGTGTGGTTGATGGAGGGGGGTGAGGACAGGGGGGTGTGGTTGATGGAGGGGGTGAGGACAGGGGGGTGTGGTTGATGGAGGGGGTGAGGACGGGGGTGTGGTTGATGGAGGGGGTGAGGACAGGGGGGTGTGGTTGATGGAGGGGGTGAGGACAGGGGGGTGTGGTTGATGGAGGGGGTGAGGACAGGGGGGTGTGGTTGATGGAGGGGGTTGAGGACAGGGGGGGTGTGGTTGATGGAGGGGGTGAGGACAGGGGGGTGTGGTTTTGGAGGGGTGAGGACGGGGGTGTGGTTGATGGAGGGGGTGAGGACAGGGGGGTGTGGTTGATGGAGGGGGTGAGGACGGGGGGTGTGGTTGATGGAGGGGGTGAGGACAGGGGGGTGTGGTTGATGGAGGGGGGTGAGGACAGGGGGGTGTGGTTGATGGAGGGGGTGAGGACAGGGGGGTGTGGTTATGGAGGGGGTGAGGGGGTGTGGTTGATGGAGGGGGTGAGGACAGGGGGGTGTGGTTGATGGAGGGGGTGAGGACAGGGGGTGTGGTTGATGGAGGGGGTGAGGACAGGGGGGTGTGGTTGATGGAGGGGGTGAGGACAGGGGGGTGTGGTTGATGGAGGGGGTGAGGACAGGGGGGTGTGGTTGATGGAGGGGGTGAGGAGGGGGGTGTGGTTTGATGGAGGGGGTGAGGACAGGGGGGTGTGGTTGATGGAGGGGGTGAGGACAGGGGGTGTGGTGATGGGGGTGGGAGGGGTGTGGTTGATGGAGGGGGTGAGGACAGGGGGGTGTGGTTGATGGAGGGGGTGAGGAGGGGGGTGGGTTGATGGAGGGGTGAGGACAGGGGGTGTGGTTGATGGAGGGGGTGAGGACAGGGGGGTGTGGTTGATGGAGGGGGTGAGGACAGGGGGGTGTGGTTGATGGAGGGGGTGAGGACAGGGGGGTGTGGTTGATGGAGGGGGTGAGGACAGGGGGGTGTGGTTGATGGAGGGGGTGAGGACAGGGGGGTGTGGTTGATGGAGGGGGTGAGGACAGGGGGGTGTGGTTGATGGAGGGGGTGAGGACAGGGGGGTGTGGTTGATGGAGGGGGTGAGGACAGGGGGGTGTGGTTGATGGAGGGGGTGAGGACAGGGGGGTGTGGTTGATGGAGGGGGGTGAGGACAGGGGGGTGTGGTTGATGGAGGGGGTGAGGACAGGGGGGTGTGGTTGATGGAGGGGGTGAGGACAGGGGGGTGTGGTTGATGGAGGGGGGTGAGGACAGGGGGTGTGGTTGATGGAGGGGGTGAGGACGGGGGTGTGGTTGATGGAGGGGGTGAGGACAGGGGGGGTGTGGTTGATGGAGGGGGTGAGGACAGGGGGTGTGGTTGATGGAGGGGGTGAGGACGGGGGTGTGGTTGATGGAGGGGGTGAGGACAGGGGGGTGTGGTTGATGGAGGGGGTGAGGACAGGGGGTGTGGTTGATGGAGGGGGTGAGGACAGGGGGTGTGGTTGATGGAGGGGGTGAGGACAGGGGGGTGTGGTTGATGGAGGGGGTGAGGACAGGGGGGTGTGGTTGATGGAGGGGGTGAGGACAGGGGGTGTGGTTGATGGAGGGGGTGAGGACAGGGGGGTGTGGTTGATGGAGGGGGTGAGGACAGGGGGGTGTGGTTGATGGAGGGGGTGAGGACAGGGGGGTGTGGTTGATGGAGGGGGTGAGGACAGGGGGGTGTGGTTGATGGAGGGGGTGAGGACAGGGGGTGTGGTTGATGGAGGGGGTGAGGACAGGGGGGTGTGGTTGATGGAGGGGGTGAGGACAGGGGGGTGTGGTTGATGGAGGGGGTGAGGACAGGGGGGTGTGGTTGATGGAGGGGGTGAGGACAGGGGGGTGTGGTTGATGGAGGGGGGTGAGGACAGGGGGGTGTGGTTGATGGAGGGGGTGAGGACAGGGGGTGTGGTTGATGGAGGGGGTGAGGACAGGGGGGTGTGGTTGATGGAGGGGGTGAGGACAGGGGGTGTGGTTGATGGAGGGGGTGAGGACGGGGGTGTGGTTGATGGAGGGGGTGAGGACAGGGGGGTGTGGTTGATGGAGGGGGTGAGGACAGGGGGGTGTGGTTGATGGAGGGGGTGAGGACAGGGGGGTGTGGTTGATGGAGGGGGTGAGGACGGGGGGGGTGGTTGTGGTTAGGGGGGGTGAGGACAGGGGGGTGTGGTTGATGGAGGGGGTGAGGACAGGGGGGTGTGGTTGATGGAGGGGGTGAGGACAGGGGGGTGTGGTTGATGGAGGGGGTGAGGACGGGGGTGTGGTGATGGAGGGGGTGAGGACAGGGGGGTGTGGTTGATGGAGGGGGTGAGGACAGGGGGTGTGGTTGATGGAGGGGGTGAGGACAGGGGGTGTGGTTGATGGAGGGGGTGAGGACAGGGGGGTGTGGTTGATGGAGGGGGTGAGGACAGGGGGTGGTTGATGGAGGGGTGAGGAGGGGGTGTGGTTGATGGAGGGGGTGAGGAGGGGGTGTGGTTGATGGAGGGGGGTGAGGACAGGGGGGTGTGGTTGATGGAGGGGGTGAGGACAGGGGGGTGTGGTTGATGGAGGGGGTGAGGACAGGGGGTGTGGTTGATGGAGGGGGGTGAGGACGGGGGTGTGGTTGATGGAGGGGGTGAGGACAGGGGGGTGTGGTTGATGGAGGGGGTGAGGACAGGGGGTGTGGTTGATGGAGGGGGTGAGGACAGGGGTTCACTCTCCTCCTGCTGACCTTCTCCTCTCTGCTGACTCTGGTTCACTCTCCTCCTCCTCCTCCTGACCTTCTCCTCTCTGCTGACTCTGGTTCACTCTCCTCCTCCTCCTCCTGACCTTCTCCTCTATGCTGACTCTGGTTCACTCTCCTCCTCCTCCTCCTGACCTTCTCCTCTCTGCTGACTCCTGTTCACTCTCCTCCTCCTCCTCCTGACCTTCTCCTCTCTGCTGACTCTGGTTCACTCTCCTCCTCCTCCTGACCTCCTCTCTGCTGACTCCGGTTCACTCTCCTCCTCCTCCTGACCTTCTCCTCTCTGCTGACTCCGGTTCACTCTCCTCCTCCTCCTCCTGACCTCCTCTATGCTGACTCTGGTTCACTCTCCTCCTGCTCCTCCTGACCTTCTCCTCTCTGCTGACTCCTGTTCACTCTCCTCCTCCTCCTCCTGACCTTCTCCTCTCTGCTGACTCTGGTTCACTCTCCTCCTGCTGACCTTCTCCTCTCTGCTGACTCTGGTTCACTCTCCTCCTCCTCCTCCTGACCTTCTCCTCTCTGCTGACTCTGGTTCACTCTCCTCCTCCTCCTCCTGACCTTCTCCTCTCTGCTGACTCTGGTTCACTCTCCTCCTCCTCCTCCTGACCTTCTCCTCTATGCTGACTCTGGTTCACTCTCCTCCTCCTCCTCCTGACCTTCTCCTCTCTGCTGACTCCTGTTCACTCTCCTCCTCCTCCTCCTGACCTTCTCCTCTCTGCTGACTCTGGTTCACTCTCCTCCTCCTCCTGACCTCCTCTCTGCTGACTCCGGTTCACTCTCCTCCTCCTCCTGACCTTCTCCTCTCTGCTGACTCCGGTTCACTCTCCTCCTCCTCCTCCTGACCTCCTCTATGCTGACTCTGGTTCACTCTCCTCCTGCTGACCTTCTCCTCTCTGCTGACTCTGGTTCACTCTCCTCCTCCTCCTGACCTTCTCCTCTCTGCTGACTCTGGTTCACTCTCCTCCTCCTCCTCCTGACCTTCTCCTCTCTGCTGACTCTGGTTCACTCTCCTCCTCCTCCTGACCTTCTCCTCTCTGCTGACTCTGGTTCACTCTCCTCCTCCTCCTCCTGACCTTCTCCTCTCTGCTGACTCTGGTTCACTCTCCTCCTCCTCCTGACCTTCTCCTCTCTGCTGACTCTGGTTCACTCTCCTCCTCCTCCTCCTGACCTTCTCCTCTCTGCTGACTCTGGTTCACTCTCCTCCTCCTCCTGACCTTCTCCTCTCTGCTGACTCCGGTTCACTCTCCTCCTCCTCCTCCTGACCTTCTCCTCTCTGCTGACTCTGGTTCACTCTCCTCCTCCTCCTCCTGACCTTCTCCTCTCTGCTGACTCTGGTTCACTCTCCTCCTCCTCCTGACCTTCTCCTCTCTGCTGACTCTGGTTCTCTCTCCTCCTCCTCCTCCTGACCTTCTCCTCTCTGCTGACTCTGGTTCTCTCTCCTCCTCCTCCTCCTGACCTTCTCCTCTCTTCTGACTCCGGTTCACTCTCCTCCTCCTCCTCCTGACCTCCTCTCTGCTGACTCCGGTTCACTCTCCTCCTCCTCCTGACCTCCTCTCTGCTGACTCTGGTTCACTCTCCTCCTCCTCCTCCTGACCTCCTCTCTGCTGACTCCGGTTCACTCTCCTCCTCCTCCTGACCTCCTCTCTGCTGACTCCGGTTCACTCTCCTCCTCCTCCTGACCTCCTCTCTGCTGACTCTGGTTCACTCTCCTCCTCCTCCTGACCTTCTCCGTCTGGACCAGCCGCACTGTTAGTTTTGAGCTCGTTGAAGCTTGTATTGAATCCAAATCTGAAATCTGATAAAAAATAAAATGATGTCTCATGAACGTCATTCAGTGGATTAGGTAAGTATGGAGGACCAGAGTGCTGTGTACTACTTATGGAGGAGAAATAATCATCAAAGCATTCAGAGATTAAGTTAAGATCAGTAATTGTAGTATTATTAACAGTAACATTAGTTTCTTTTGGACCCACCCAGAAGCTGGTCCAGGTGTTTCCAAAATTGTTTAGGGTTGTTGTAGTTCAGACCGAGGGCTTCCTCGGAGTTTGGGTTTTGGATTGATCCCTGAGTTGTCTAGATCTCCAGTCGTTAGGGTCCTTAGACTCTCTGTATTTAGTCCAAGCTTGGTCTCGACGTTTAAAAAGTCCATGGAAGTCAGAGCTAGTCCATGGAAGATGCTGTCCTTTTACGTGAATAGTTTTAAATGGGGCATGTTTATCAATTACTTTAAGGACTTCAGAATGGTTCACCCCAAAGATAAAACCTTACAGTAATATCGCAAAATCATGTATTCCATAAGTATGTAATAATCTCAGTGCAATTTAGACAAGTCCAATGGATTCACAGACCCAGAAAACATGGGGTTAGACCCCAACATTACATGGCTGGGTCAAATAATGAAGGAGTTAGGATATGTTGAGGGCTTCCTGCCCATCTTGGAAGCCATCTTGAAAATTACACCTTTCCAGTGGTCAAACTTTGGTAAACTTTTATTAAGGACCTAATACTACAAAAAACATTTTAAAAAACCGCCGCCGCCTATTGGTGCCGATGAGGAGGAGTTCAGTTTTATTGCTGTTAAGTTTGAGGAAGTTTGCTGTGAACCAGGACTTTATTTCTTGGAGGCAGTTAGTGAGAGAGGACGGTGGGAGTGTGGAATCTGGTTTTCTGGAGATGTAGAGCTGGGTGTCATCCGCGTAGCAGTGGAAGTGAATGTGGCCAAGAGGGAGAAGGTAGATTAGGAAAAGCAGGGGGCCGAGGACAGAACCCTGTGGAACCCCAGAAGTGATGGGGAAGGAACGAGAGGAGAAGGATTTAAGTTGGATGAACTGGGTGCGGTCAGAAAGGCAGGAATGGAACCAGGAGAGGCCAATGGAGGAGAGTCTGTGCAGAAGGATGGATGTGAGATGTGTCGAAGGCTGCACTGAGATCAAGCAGGAGGAGGAGGAGAGAGAACCAGCAGAGAGGAGACGGTCAGGAGGTTTCTTGAGTCTGGGAGTGACGGCAGCAGAGTGGGGAGGGCACAGTACCAGTAGATAAAGAGGTTTTAATTCTGTTTGCGATGAGAGGATGAGAGGACGGTGGGGAGAGGGTCACGTTGACAGGAGGAGGATTTGGATTTTTGGATGTAGGTGGAGATTTAGTCGACAGATGGAGAGGTAAAGGAAGAGAGGAGGTGGGTTGGAGCAGGAGCATTGGGAGAAGATGGAGTGAGTTGTTGGTGGATGTGCTGGATTTTGGAGTTGAAAAATGAGGCCAGGGTGTTGCAAAAATCAGATGAATAGAAATGAGTTACCTTCATTTGAGCTGATTAAACCGCAGTAGTGTGTGGATTTAGCAGTGGAGAGTCTTTGTAATGGAGTGTTTTGGACATTTCATGGTGAATAGTGAGTCCAGTTTTTCTGTAGAGTCTTTCAAGTTGGCGGCCTTTGGTTTTGAGGTGTCTGAGGGTGGGAGTGAACCAGGGGGCTGTGTGAAAGAAGGAGACTGAGCGGGGTTTGAGTGGGGCCAGAGTGTTGAGAATGTTGTGGAGGTTTGTGTTGCAGTGTGTTGTAGAAAGCCTCAGCACTGGGGAGGTTATGGATGAGAGTTGTTAAATTGTCCAAGTTAATGTCCTTGATTTTACGGAGCTGTATAGTGCGTGGCGGGTTGGATTTGGTGAAGGACAGGTTGATGCTGACTGAGAGGAGTAGATGTCTGTGTATGGGGCGTGGTCAGTTTGAAAGTCCAACAGTGTTATTCCTGAGCAGCAGATTAGGTCCAGAACATGTCCTTTATCGTGAGTGGGGAAGTTGACAAACTGTTGAAATCCAAAACTGTCCAAACAGGAGGTGAAATCTTTTGTGAGGGTGTTATTGGCCTGGTCCATGTGGATATTGAAATCTCCCAGTAGAATGACGTTGGTGAAAGTGTGGATAGGTGAGAAATACAGTCATGTCCGTGATGAAGTCCTTGTTTTGTTTTGGTGGTCTGTAGACGGTGGCGATGACTGTGGGGATGTGTCCAGCTAGTTTTAAAACAGTAGATTTGAAGGAATTACATGCAGGCACATTTACGGACAGCGCCATCCAGGTCTCACGGTGAATGACCGCGAGACCGCCTCCTCCCCCAGACACACGGGCAGCAGCGTGGTAAAACAATCCCCGGTGGAGTGGCTTCATTCAGGGAGGAGAAGTCATTTGGCAGCTGCCATGTCTCGGTTAAACAGAGGATGTCCAACTTACGTGAGATCCGTGAGAAGGTCCTGGACGAGGTGGCCCTTACTCGTGAGAGAGCGGATGTTCAGCAGCCCGGCGCAGACCGCAGTGTTGCCGTTGCTAACAGCTGAGCTAACGCTAGCCGACCTCGGGACTCGGGCTAGTCCGGGTGCTGGAGCAGTGCCGGTGCTGGTGGGTCGTGTGGATTATACTTTAAACTATTTAAACATTTACAACAAAGAGCTTTTCTGAAACAAAAGTCACATCCACAGGTGTTAGTGTTTCAAACAGAAGCTACTGTACATGATTAACACAGCTGTACGTGTCCTCCACAGCTGCATGTGTCCTCCACAGCTGCATGTGTCCTCCACAGCTGCATGTGTCCTCCACAGCTGTATGTGTCCTCCACAGCTGTATGTGTCCTCCACAGCTGCATGTGTCCTCCACAGCTGCATGTGTCCTCCACAGCTGTATGTGTCCTCCACAGCTGTATGTGTCCTCCACAGCTGCATGTGTCCTCCACAGCTGCATGTGTCCTCCACAGCTGCATGTGTCCTCCACAGCTGTATGTGTCCTCCACAGCTGTATGTGTCCTCCACAGCTGTATGTGTCCTCCACAGCTGCATGTGTCCTCCACAGCTGCATGTGTCCTCCACAGCTGTATGTGTCCTCCACAGCTGTATGTGTCCTCCACAGCTGCATGTGTCCTCCACAGCTGCATGTGTCCTCCACAGCTGTATGTGTCCTCCACAGCTGTATGTGTCCTCCACAGCTGTATGTGTCCTCCACAGCTGTATGTGTCCTCCACAGCTGCACACATCATCTGTCTCTTGGGATGTGGAACATCACCTCACTGGGGGAGGAGCCCGAGCTTGTGGGGGAGGAGGAGCTTGTGGGGGAGGAGCCAGAGCTCGTGGGAGAGGTTGAGAGATACCTAGAGATAGTCTCACCTCCACACACAGCTTGGGCTCTGAACCCAACTCCTTGAGAGGGTTGGACGCTCCACTTCTGTGGTGTTTCCCGCGTGGAGAGGCGGCGAGCGGGGGGGGGGCGTACTCCCCCATCTCAGCTCCACCTGTTGGAGTTCTCCCCGGTGAATGAGAGGGTTGCGTCCCTCCGCCTCCGGGTGGGGGACAAGTCTCTCACTGTTGTCTCACAAGTCTCTCGGACTGCCCCGCCCGACCCGCCTGGGAGTGCTTCGGTCCTGCACCGGACCTGTCCACGTTCAGCGGCCACTGGTCCACGTTCTGTAGCTAGCTTAGATCCTGGATCATTAGCCTGTCCGTCCGGAGGAGCGGATCCCTTTCTCATATGGGTCTCCCTCCCTGTGGGTTTCCCTAGTTCTCCCCAAGGTTTCTCACTTTTTCCCACTGGGTTTTTTAAGAGTTTTTCCTTGTGGATGCAGGAGGGTCTTGTTGGACAGTTAGTGTCCAACAGAAAGGATTGGTGATGATCAGGACACTTTAGCATTCTACAACATGTATGGACATTTTCTTCTGTGTGTGCTTTATATTCTTCATGTGTTTTAACTGTTGATTCTCTGACCTGTGTTGGTGATTTCAATGGTTTTGTTAAGTCTCTGAGATGATGCTGTTGTGACCTAGGGCTATACAACAATACATTCTATTGTAATGTATTGTATTGTATTGTGCCTATGGGCCTAACAGCAGTGCAGAGTACCCGGCCTTCTTGGAGTCCTTGGGAGGGGTACTGGACGGTGCACCTACCGGGGACTCCGTTACTCTCTTGGGGGACTTCAACGCCCATGTGGGGGACGCCGGTGACACTTGTAATCAGAATCCTTTTATTGACATGTGAGTAACAGGAAGTCACAAACTAGGAAATGTCTTAGTTAAATCCGAATAAAAGGAAAGGCATAAATAAAAATCTACATACAGTAAATGTCTTCAGTTTACTGAAGTCCGGAGTGCAGTAAAGTGACAGTAGCATACAGTGACGTCATCAGGTGAGGGGGAGAGGTTGGAACAGACCATGTGCAGGTGAGAGGGGAGAGATTGGAACAGTCCATGTGCAGGTGAGAGGGGAGTGGTTGGAACAGTCCATGTGCAGGTGAGAGGGGAGAGGTTGGAATAGTCCATGTGCAGGTGAGAGGGGAGAGGTTGGAACAGTCCATGTGCAGGTGAGAGGGGAGTGGTTGGAATAGTCCATGTGCAGGTGAGAGGGGAGTGTTGGAATAGTCCATGTGCAGGTGAGAGGGGAGAGGTTGGAATAGTCCATGTGCAGGTGAGAGGGGAGTGTTGGAATAGTCCATGTGCAGGTGAGAGGGGAGTGGTTGGAATAGTCCATGTGCAGGTGAGAGGGAAGAGGTTGGAATAGTCCATGTGCAGGTGAGAGGGAAGAGGTTGGAATAGTCCATGTGCAGGTGAGAGACCAGAGCAGAGAGGATTCATGGTTTTACACTGGTCCAGACCAGAGCAGCTCCTCCTTGTGACCCGTCCACAGTTCATCCTGAAAGTATTCACAGCTTCAATATTTCCACATGTTGTTTTGTCACAAACTTATTCTCTGGTCTCTCTCTGGTCTCTCTCTGGTCTCTCTCTGGTTTCTCTCTGGTCTCTCTCTGGTTTCTCTCTGGTCTCTCTCTGGTCTCTCTCTGGTTTCTCTCTGGTCTCTCTCTGGTTTCTCTCTGGTTTCTCTCTGGTCTCTCTCTGGTTTCTCTCTGGTCTCTCTCTGGTTTCTCTCTGGTCTCTCTCTGGTCTCTCTCTGGTTTCTCTCTGGTCTCTCTCTGGTTTCTCTCTGGTCTTTCTCTGGTATCTCTCTGGTCTCTCTCTGGTCTCTCTCTGGTCTTTCTCTGGTCTCTCTCTGGTCTTTCTTTGGTCTTTCTCTGGTCTCTCTCTGGTCTCTCTCTGGTCTCTTCCTTGATGGTTTCTCATTCGATTGTATTTTGTTTTCTTGATTATTTAACAAAATTATAAAATAATTGTTATGAATTGTTAATATACACTAACACCAACGTGTCTTGCCCAAGGACACAATGACAGCTGACAGACGTCTTTCTTATGTCTCTCTGTGGGGTCTTAGGAACTAGATCTACACCGAAGCATGGGGGTGGAAACATCAGGCTCAGGGGCGGTATTCTTTCGAAGCGACCGGGAAGATCCATTCAAATGTCTGGGGCCTGGAACTGTGAGGTTTGGAGTGAAAACCTGCTTCTGTCATTAAGGGAAGTGACGATGAAACATTTCTGGGTGTTTGACCAGCAACAGTTGAAAAAAATTACTACGTCTGCAGGAGGAATGGGCCAAAATACCAGCAAGAGTGACCTCTGTCAAAGGGTAAATAACAAGCATTGAAAACAAATTCTGTTATGGACTCCTTACGGTTTTAGTCCTGCTTTAGACCTGCTTTAGTCCTGCTGTAGACCTGCTTTAGTCCTGCTTTAGACCTGCTGTAGACCTGCTTTAGTCCTGCTTTAGACCTGCTTTAGTCCTACTTTAGACCTGCTTTAGTCCTGCTGTAGACCTGCTTTAGTCCTGCTTTAGACCTGCTTTAGTCCTGCTTTAGACCTGCGTTAGTCCTGCTTTAGACCTGCTTTAGTCCTGCTTTAGACCTGCTTTAGTCCTGCTTTAGACCTGCTTTAGACCTGCTTTAGTCCTGCTTTAGACCTGCTTTAGACCTGCTTTAGTCCTGCTTTAGACCTGCTTTAGACCTTCTTTAGTCCTGCTTTAGTCCTGCTTTAGACCTGCTTTAGTCCTGCTTTAGTCCTGCTTTAGACCTGCTTTTGTCCTGGTTTAGACCTGCTTTAGTCCTGCTTGAGACCTTCTTTAGTCCTGCTTTAGTCCTGCTTTAGACCTGCTTTAGTCCTGCTTTAGACCTGCTTTAGACCTGCTTTAGACCTGCTTTAGTCCTGCTTTAGACCTGCTTTAGTCCTGCTTTAGACCTTCTTTAGTCCTGCTTTAGACCTGCTTTAGACCTGCTTTAGTCCTGCTTTAGACCTGCTTTAGTCCTGCTTTAGTCCTGCTTTAGACCTTCTTTAGTCCTGCTTTAGTCCTGCTTTAGACCTGCTTTAGTCCTGCTTTAGTCCTGCTTTAGTCCTGCTTTAGTCCTGCTTTAGACCTGCTTTAGTCCTGCTTTAGACCCTTTTAGTCCCATATTAGACCAATCTAATTTCTCGGCTTCTTTTGGACTTCAAAGCGACAGTCTAATCCGTTGCCGCGGTGACGCAGACTCTTTAAAAGGACATGTCTTTCATGTTGTTTACGCCTAATACAGAAAATGAAGATTAATGATCACAACGAGACTCGAGATCAGGAGGTCGACTCAGAGGAGGGACTAGAAAGAGACCAGAGAGAGAGACGGGGAGAGACCAGAGAGAAACCAGATACACCTCTCTCTCCCTGTGCTCTCTCTCTGGTCTCTCTCGCTCTGGTCTCTCTCTTGCTGGTCTCTCTCTTGCTGGTCTCTCTCTCTGGTCTCTCTCTTGCTGGTCTCTCTCTCTCTGGTCTCTCTCTGTCTGGTCTCTCTCTGTCTGGTCTCTCTCTCTGGTCTCTCTCTTGCTGGTCTCTCTCTCTCTGGTCTCTCTCTGTCTGGTCTCTCTCTGTCTGGTCTCTCTCTCTGGTCTCTCTCTCTGGTCTCTCTCTGTCTGGTCTCTCTTTGTCTGGTCTCTCTCTTGCTGGTCTCTCTCTCTCTGGTCTCTCTCTTGCTGGTCTCTCTCGCTCTGGTCCCTCTCTCTCTGGTCTCTCTCTTGCTGGTCTCTCTCTCTCTGGTCTCTCTCTTGCTGGTCTCTCTCTCTCTGGTCTCTCTCTTCTGGTCTCTCTCTCTCTGGTCTCTCTCTCTGGTCTCTCTCTTGCTGGTCTCTCTCCTTCTTTAGCAGAGAGACTGTAAAGTACCAAACTTAAATATGACTTTTGTATCAATACAAACTCAGCAATCAGAGGTTGTTTTTCCCCTCATTCTAAATCCACCTCATGTGTTTTTCCTAAAGTCGTAAGTCTTAAGAAATGTGTGTTTTGTAGAAAAACATAAAAAGCGCAAAAAATTTCCAGGAAAAGTAATGAATAATAAATCTGAGGCGTTTTGTGTTGAGTAAGCAACACATTAGAACACAGGATCTTACTAAAGCAGAAAAGACCAGAGCGAGACCAGAGCGAGACCAGAGAGAAACCAGAGAGACCAGAGAGAGACCAGAGAGAGAGACCAGAGAGAGACCAGAGAGGGACCAGAGCGAGACCAGAGAGAGACCAGAGAGAGACCAGAGAGGGACCAGAGAGAGACCAGAGAGAGACCAGAGAGGGACCAGAGAGGGACCAGAGAGAGACCAGAGAGGGACCAGAGAGAGACCAGAGAGAGAGACCAGAGAGGGACCAGAGAGGGACCAGAGAGAGACCAGAGAGGGACCAGAGAGAGACCAGAGAGAGAGACCAGAGAGAGACCAGAGAGAGACCAGAGAGAGAGACCAGAGAGATACCAGAGAGGGACCAGAGAGAGACCAGAGAGAGAGACCAGAGAGAGACCAGAGCGAGACCAGAGAGAGAGACCAGAGAGAAACCAGAGAGACCAGAGAGAGACCAGAGAGAGAGACCAGAGAGAGACCAGAGAGGGACCAGAGAGAGACCAGAGAGAGAGACCAGAGAGAGACCAGAGAGAGAGACCAGAGAGAGACCAGAGAGAGAGACCAGAGAGAGACCAGAGAGAGAGACCAGAAAGAGACCAGAGAGAGAGACCAGAGAGAGAGACCAGAGAGAGACCAGAGAGAGACCAGAGAGAGAGAGACCAGAGAGAGAGACCAGAGAGAGAGACCAGAGAGAGACCAGAGAGAGAGACCAGAGAGAGACCAGAGAGAGACCAGAGAGAGAGACCAGAGAGAAACCAGAGAGAGACCAGAGAGAGAGACCAGAGAGAGACCAGAGAGGGACCAGAGAGAGACCAGAGAGAGAGACCAGAGAGAGACCAGAGAGAGAGACCAGAGAGAGACCAGAGAGAGACCAGAGAGAGACCAGAGAGAGAGACCAAAAAGAGACCAGAGAGAGAGACCAGAGAGAGACCAGAGAGAGACCAGAGAGAGAGACCAGAGAGAGACTTTACTACTGACAGTAATTCTTTATTATTTATTACAGCTTTTGTTCACATTTACAGTTGTGTTTATGTTATTATCTTATTCATGTCTAAATCCTTTGGGAGCTCCTTCCAATGAGGTGGAGAGCTACTGGTAGCTCCCAGGTTAGAGGTAGAGACCCCAGGATTAGAGCATGTTAAAGGATGGAGTTGGAGCTTTAAAATGAGGTAGAACACATCATTGCTGGTCATTCATTAACCCCGTTTGCAGAGCCATTGGTCAGAGCTGCAGACCTCTCCTTGGTGTCGTCCTGGTCTCTGATGCAGGTCTGGACCAGGGCAGAGCAGACCAGGTAGGGGTCACAGTCAGAGGGGGGGCGGCGGTCTTCCAGGTACCCCCTCCCCGCCTGGTGCACGAATCCAGGGATCCGGATGCTGGTTTTCCGGCCTGCGATGGACCAGGTGAAGGTGTGGAAGTCGGAGTTCGGTTTCACTCCGTTCAGACGCTGCTGGTTCTGCTGCTCACTGCCGTAAATCTGCATGTGTTCAGAGTGAGACCGAGAGAGACTCTGCACCGAGGACAGGATGTGACTGAAACAACATCATACAGCCTCAGTCCTGGGTCTACAGTCTCAGTCCTGGGTCTACAGCCTCAGTCCTGGGTCTACAGCCTCAGTCCTGGGTCTACAGCCTCAGTCCTGGAGCTACAGCCTCAGTCCTGGGTCTACAGCCTCAGTCCTGGGTCTACAGCCTCAGTCCTGGAGCTACAGCCTCAGTCCTGGGTCTACAGCCTCAGTCCTGGGTCTACAGTCTCAGTTCTGGGTCTACAGTCTCAGTCCTGGGTCTACAGCCTCAGTCCTGGGTCTACAGCCTCAGTCCTGGAGCTACAGCCTCAGTCCTGGGTCTACAGCCTCAGTCCTGGGTCTACAGTCTCAGTTCTGGGTCTACAGTCTCAGTCCTGGGTCTACAGTCTCAGTTCTGGGTCTACAGACTCAGTCCTGGGTCTAAAGCCTCAGTCCTGGGTCTACAGCCTCAGTCCTGGGTCTACAGCCTCAGTCCTGGGTCTACAGTCTCAGTTCTGGGTCTACAGTCTCAGTCCTGGGTCTACAGCCTCAGTCCTGGGTCTAAAGCCTCAGTCCTGGGTCTACGGCCTCAGTCCTGGGTCTACAGCCTCAGTCCTGGGTCTAAAGCCTCAGTCCTGGGTCTACAGCCTCAGTCCTGGGTCTACAGCCTCAGTCCTGGGTCTACAGCCTCAGTCCTGGGTCTACAGCCTCAGTCCTGGGTCTACAGTCTCAGTTCTGGGTCTACAGACTCAGTCCTGGGTCTACAGCCTCAGTCCTGGGTCTAAAGCCTCAGTCCTGGGTCTACAGACTCAGTCCTGGGTCTAAAGCCTCAGTCCTGGGTCTACGGCCTCAGTCCTGGGTCTACAGCCTCAGTCCTGGGTCTAAAGCCTCAGTCCTGGGTCTACAGCCTCAGTCCTGGGTCTACAGCCTCAGTCCTGGGTCTACAGCCTCAGTCCTGGGTCTACAGACTCAGTCCTGGGTCTAAAGCCTCAGTCCTGGGTCTACAGCCTCAGTCCTGGGTCTACGGCCTCAGTCCTGGGTCTACAGCCTCAGTCCTGGGTCTACGACCTCAGTCCTGGGTCTACAGCCTCAGTCCTGGGTCTACAGCCTCAGTCCTGGGTCTAAAGCCTCAGTCCTGGGTCTACAGCCTCAGTCCTGGGTCTACAGCCTCAGTCCTGGGTCTAGAGCCTCAGTCCTGGGTCTAGAGCCTCAGTCCTAGAGCTACAGCCTCAGTCCTGGGTCTACAGCCTCAGTCCTGGAGCTACAGCCTCAGTCCTGGAGCTACAGCCTCAGTCCTGGGTCTACAGCCTCAGTCCTGGAGCTACAGCCTCAGTCCTAGAGCTACAGCCTCAGTCCTGGAGCTACAGCCTCAGTCCTAGAGCTACAGCCTCAGTCCTGGGTCTACAGCCTCAGTCCTGGGTCTACAGCCTCAGTGCTGGGTCTACAGCCTCAGTCCTGGAGCTACAGCCTCAGTCCTAGAGCTACAGCCTCAGTCCTGGGTCTACAGCCTCAGTCCTGGGTCTACAGCCTCAGTCCTGGGTCTACAGCCTCAGTCCTGGGTCTACAGCCTCAGTCCTGGAGCTACAGCCTCAGTCCTGGAGCTACAGCCTCAGTCCTGGGTCTACAGCCTCAGTCCTGGAGCTACAGCCTCAGTCCTGGGTCTACAGCCTCAGTCCTGGGTCTACAGCCTCAGTCCTGGGTCTACAGCCTCAGTCCTAGAGCTACAGCCTCAGTCCTGGAGCTACAGCCTCAGTCCTGGGTCTACAGCCTCAGCCCTAGAGCTACAGCCTCAGTCCTGGAGCTACAGCCTCAGTCCTGGGTCTACAGCCTCAGTCCTGGGTCTACAGCCTCAGTCCTGGAGCTACAGCCTCAGTCCTGGGTCTACAGCCTCAGTCCTGGGTCTACAGCCTCAGTCCTGGGTCTACAGCCTCAGTCCTGGGTCTACAGCCTCAGTCCTAGATCTACAGCCTCAGTCCTGGGTCTACAGCCTCAGTCCTGGAGCTACAGCCTCAGTCCTGGAGCTACAGCCTCAGTCCTGGAGCTACAGCCTCAGTCCTGGGTCTACAGCCTCAGTCCTGGGTCTACAGCCTCAGTCCTAGATCTACAGCCTCAGTCCTGGGTCTACAGCCTCAGTCCTGGGTCTACAGCCTCAGTCCTGGAGCTACAGCCTCAGTCCTGGAGCTACAGCCTCAGTCCTGGGTCTACAGCCTCAGTCCTAGAGCTACAGCCTCAGTCCTGGGTCTACAGCCTCAGTCCTGGGTCTACAGCCTCAGTCCTGGAGCTACAGCCTCAGTCCTGGAGCTACAGCCTCAGTCCTGGAGCTACAGCCTCAGTCCTGGAGCTACAGCCTCAGTCCTGGGTCTACAGCCTCAGTCCTGGAGCTACAGCCTCAGTCCTGGAGCTACAGCCTCAGTCCTGGGTCTACAGCCTCAGTCCTAGAGCTACAGCCTCAGTCCTGGGTCTACAGCCTCAGTCCTGGGTCTACAGCCTCAGTCCTGGAGCTTCAGCCTCAGTCCTGGAGCTACAGCCTCAGTCCTGGGTCTACAGCCTCAGTCCTGGGTCTACAGCCTCAGTCCTGGAGCTACAGCCTCAGTCCTGGAGCTACAGCCTCAGTCCTGGGTCTACAGCCTCAGTCCTGGGTCTACAGCCTCAGTCCTGGAGCTACAGCCTCAGTCCTGGAGCTACAGCCTCAGTCCTGGAGCTACAGCCTCAGTCCTGGAGCTACAGCCTCAGTCCTGGAGCTACAGCCTCAGTCCTGGAGCTACAGCCTCAGTCCTGGGTCTACAGCCTCAGTCCTGGAGCTACAGCCTCAGTCCTGGGTCTACAGCCTCAGTCCTAGATCTACAGCCTCAGTCCTGGGTCTACAGCCTCAGTCCTGGAGCTACAGCCTCAGTCCTGGAGCTACAGCCTCAGTCCTGGGTCTACAGCCTCAGTCCTGGAGCTACAGCCTCAGTCCTGGAGCTACAGCCTCAGTCCTGGGTCTACAGCCTCAGTCCTGGGTCTACAGCCTCAGTCCTGGAGCTACAGCCTCAGTCCTGGGTCTACAGCCTCAGTCCTGGGTCTACAGCCTCAGTCCTGGAGCTACAGCCTCAGTCCTGGAGCTACAGCCTCAGTCCTGGGTCTACAGCCTCAGTCCTGGAGCTACAGCCTCAGTCCTGGAGCTACAGCCTCAGTCCTGGGTCTACAGCCTCAGTCCTGGAGCTACAGCCTCAGTCCTGGGTCTACAGCCTCAGTCCTGGGTCTACAGCCTCAGTCCTGGAGCTACAGCCTCAGTCCTGGAGCTACAGCCTCAGTCCTGGGTCTACAGCCTCAGTCCTGGGTCTACAGCCTCAGTCCTGGAGCTACAGCCTCAGTCCTGGGTCTACAGCCTCAGTCCTGGGTCTACAGCCTCAGTCCTGGGTCTACAGCCTCAGTCCTGGAGCTACAGCCTCAGTCCTGGGTCTACAGCCTCAGTCCTGGAGCTACAGCCTCAGTCCTGGGTCTACAGCCTCAGTCCTGGAGCTACAGCCTCAGTCCTGGGTCTACAGCCTCAGTCCTGGGTCTACAGCCTCAGTCCTAGAGCTACAGCCTCAGTCCTGGGTCTACAGCCTCAGTCCTGGGTCTACAGCCTCAGTCCTGGGTCTACAGCCTCAGTCCTGGAGCTACAGCCTCAGTCCTGGGTCTACAGCCTCAGTCCTGGGTCTACAGCCTCAGTCCTAGAGCTACAGCCTCAGTCCTGGGTCTACAGCCTCAGTCCTGGGTCTACAGCCTCAGTCCTGGGTCTACAGCCTCAGTCCTGGAGCTACAGCCTCAGTCCTGGAGCTACAGCCTCAGTCCTGGAGCTACAGCCTCAGTCCTGGAGCTACAGCCTCAGTCCTGGAGCTACAGCCTCAGTCCTAAGTTACACGCTGTCACTGAGTATTGACTCCTGATTCATTTAAATAAGCAACAGTCCAGTATGAGGTTAACGACTGGGAAGTGTCCATGGGCCGCAGAGAAATGTAAATCCGGCCGGTTGTGGCCCCTGGGCCGCACTTTGTCCAGGTTTAGTCCAAGTCCTACTGTCCTCATGTATTCTTTGTATCACTGAGGGAGTGGAGCAGGTGGGTTAATGACGGCACGACAGAGGAGCTTCGTATCCAAGCATTTAGAAATAAGAGGGGAAGGGGAAAGCAGGGGAGGGTCCTGAGGGAGTTTGGATGGTCTGGGTGGTCCTGGAGGGGAAGGTGCAGGTCTGGGTGGTCCTGGAGGGGGAGGTGCAGGTCTGGGTGGTCCTGGGGGGGGGAGGTGGTGGTCTGGGTGGTCCTGGAGGGGGAGGTGGTGGTCTGGGTGGTCCTGGAGGGGGAGGTGGTGGTCTGGGTGGTCCTGGGGGGGGGAGGTGGTGGTCTGGGTGGTCCTGGGGGGGGAGGTGGTGGTCTGGGTGGTCCTGGAGGGGGAGGTGGTGGTCTGGGTGGTCCTGGGGGGGGGAGGTGGTGGTCTGGGTGGTCCTGGGGGGGGGAGGTGGTGGTCTGGGTGGTCCTGGGGGGGGAGGTGGTGGTCTGGGTGGTCCTGGGGGGGGAGGTGGTGGTCTGGGTGGTCCTGGAGGGGGAGGTGGTGGTCTGGGTGGTCCTGGGGGGGGAGGTGGTGGTCTGGGTGGTCCTGGGGGGGGAGGTGGTGGTCTGGGTGGTCCTGGGGGGGGAGGTGGTGGTCTGGGTGGTCCTGGAGGGGGAGGTGGAGGTGGTGGTCTGGGTGGTCCTGGAGGGGGAGGTGCAGGTCTGGGTGGTCCTGGAGGGGGAGGTGCAGGTCTGGGTGGTCCTGGAGGGGGAGGTGGTGGTCTGACCGTGTCTAAAGTCTCTGTACCATGGGTCCTTGTCCCCTGGCTGTGGTGGGACCATTAGTGTTGATGGTTGGGTGTACTCACCTGAGGCCTCCCTCGGCCCTCATGCTCCTGGTGCTGTAGTTCATGTGTCCCCCGCTCGCCCACTTTGGACTGTCCACAGGCTTCGGGTGGAAGGAGGGAACCAGTCTGAAGTCCTCACAGACTCTGAGGAGGATGTAGCGGGACATCCAGGTGTGGTCCCCCAGCTCCACACCTCCACAGGGGCCCACCTGGTACTCCCACTAGTACAACACACCAGGACACATGGATCAGAGTACTATAGGTACACAGGGGCCCACCTAGTGTTCCCACTGGTACAAGAACCAGGACACCAGTCCTGGGTCTACAGCCTCAGTCCTGGGTCTACAGCCTCAGTCCTGGGTCTACAGCCTCAGTCCTGGGTCTACAGTCTCAGTCCTGGGTCTACAGTCTCAGTCCTGGATCTACAGTCTCAGTCCTGGGTCTCCTGTACCTGTGCTGGCACCTCCTCGGCCGCGGTCCCTGTGATCCGGACTTCTGCGTACTGACAGGCGTTATAGTGACTGATGCTGACGTCTCTCCCAAAGATCGTATCCAGACCGACCAGAGACGAGCTGTCTGAGGACACATGGTTATGTATATAAAACACACATGGTTATGTATATAAAACACACATGGTTATGTATATAAAACACACATGGTTATGTATATAAAACACACATGGTTATGTATATAAAACACACATGGTTATGTATATAAATCACACATGGTTATGTATATAAAACACACATGGTTATGTACAGTATATAGAACACACATGGTTATGTATATAAAGCACACATGGTTATGTATATAAAACACACATGGTTATGTATATAAAGCACACATGGTTATGTATATAAAACACACATGGTTATGTATATAGAACACACATGGTTATGTATATAGAACACACATGGTTATGTACAGTATATAGAACACACATGGTGTACCTGTGATAGGAGTGTGCACCTGTGATACGGGTTTGTACCTGTGATAGAAGTGTGTCACTGTGATTGGGCTGTACCTGTGATAGAAATGTGTACCTGTGATAAGAGTGTGTACCTGTGAAAGGGGTGTGTACCTGTGATAGAGGGCTGTACCTGTGATAGAAGTGTGTACCTGTGATAAGAGTGTGTACCTGTGAAAGGGGTGTGTACCTGTGATAGAAGTGTGTACCTGTGATAAGAGTGTGTACCTGTGATGGGGCTGTACCTGTGATAGAAGTGTGTACCTGTGATGGGGCTGTACCTGTTATAGGAGTGTGTACCTGTGATAGGGGTGTACCTGTGATGCAAATATGTACCTGTGATAGGGCTGTAACTGTGATAGGGCTGTACCTGTCATCAGGCTGTACCTGTCATCAGGCTGTACCTGTCATCAGGCTGTACCTGTCATCAGGCTGTACCTGTCATCAGGCAGTGCCTGTCATCAGGCTGTGCCTGTGATAGGGCTGTACCTGTCATCAGGCTGTACCTGTCATCAGGCTGTACCTGTCATCAGGCTGTACCTGTCATCAGGCTGTACCTGTGATCAGGCTGTGCCTGTGATAGGGCTGTACCTGTGATCAGGCTGTACCTGTCATCAGGCTGTACCTGTCATCAGGCTGTACCTGTCATCAGGCTGTACCTGTGATCAGGCTGTGCCTGTGATAGGGCTGTACCTGTGATCAGGCTGTACCTGTCATCAGGCTGTACCTGTCATCAGGCTGTACCTGTCATCAGGCTGTACCTGTCATCAGGCTGTACCTGTCATCAGGCTGTACCTGTGATCAGGCTGTGCCTGTGATAGGGCTGTACCTGTGATCAGGCTGTACCTGTCATCAGGCAGTGCCTGTCATCAGGCAGTGCCTGTCATCGGAGTGATAGAGGGCTGTACCTCTGATAGGGCTGTACCTATGATCGGGCTGTACCTGTGTCTGGGGGGGTGGAGGAGGCCCATCCAAAGGGCAGTCCCTCCAGCGTCATCAGAACAAACTCCTGTTCGAACCCAAACCAGGGTTGATGGTCCTTCACAGCCTCCATGGTCTCCACACACTGCTGCCTGGTGTTCCCCGCTACACACACACACACAGAGACACGCACACACACACAGAGACACACACACAAACACGCACACACACACAGAGACACACACAGACACACACACAGACACACCCACACACGCACACGCACACACACAGAGACACACACACACACACACACACGCAGACACACACACACACACATACACACATACAGAGACTCACACACAGGTTAGGATGAGTCAGGTCTGTGTGTGTGTGTGTGGTTGGTGGTGGTGGGAGGGGCTTCTGTCAGTGTGCCCCAGGGCAGCTGTGGCTACAGTAGAGGTTTGTCACCACCGTGTTTGGAGAGAAATGATAATGATGTGAAGAGACTTTGATAGTCCTGAAAAGAGCTTTATAAAACTGATGTATTATAGTTATAGTCCTCCTGGTCTCTCTCCTCCTGGTCTCTCTCCTCCTGGTCTCCTCCTGGTCTCTGTCCTCCTGGTCTCTCTCCTCCTGGTCTCTCTCCTCCTGGTCTCTGTCCTCCTGGTCTCCTCCTGGTCTCTGCCCACATGGTCTCTCTCCTCCTGGTCTCTCTGCTCCTGGTCTCTGTCCTCCTGGTCTTTCTCCTCCTGGTCTCTCTCCTCCTGGTCTCTCTCCTCCTGGTCTCTGTCCTCCTGGTCTTTGCCCACATGGTCTCTGTCCTCCTGGTCTCTCTCCTCCTGGTCTCTCTCCTCCTGGTCTCTCTCCTCCTGGTCTCTGTCCTCCTGGTCTCTGTCCTCCTGGTCTCTCTCCTCCTGGTCTCTCTCCTCCTGGTCTCTGTCCTCCTGGTCTCTGTCCTCCTGGTCTCTGTCCTCCTGGTCTCTGTCCTCCTGGTCTCTGTCCTCCTGGTCTCTGTCCTCCTGGTCTCTGTCCTCATGGTCTCTCTCCTCCTGGTCTCTGTCCTCCTGGTCTCTCTCCTCCTGGTCTCCTCCTGGGCTCTGCCCACATGGTCTCTATCCTCCTGGTCTCTGTCCTCCTGGTCTCTGTCCTCCTGGTCTCTCTGGTCTCTGTCCTCATGGTCTCTCTCCTCCTGGTCTCTGTCCTCCTGGTCTCTCTCCTCCTGGTCTCCTCCTGGTCTCTGCCCACATGGTCTCTCTCCTCCTGGTCTCTCTCCTCCTGGTCTTTGCCCACATGGTCTCTCTCTTCCTGGACTCTGTCCTCCTGGTCTCTGTCCTCCTGGTCTCTGTCCTCCTGGTCTCCTCCTGGTCTTTGCCCACATGGTCTCTCTCCTCCTGGTCTCTGTCCTCCTGGTCTCTCTCCTCCTGGTCTCTCTCCTCCTTGTCTCTCTCCTCCTGGTCTCTCTCCTCATGGTCTCTGTCCTCATGGTCTCTCTCCTCCTGGTCTCTCTCCTCCTGGTCTCTCTCCTCCTGGTCTCTCTCCTCCTGGTCTCTGTCCTCCTGGTCTCTCTCCTCCTGGTTTCTCTCCTCCTGGTCTCTCTCCTCCTGGTCTCTCTCCTCCTGGTCTCTCTCCTCCTGGTCTCTGTCCTCATGGTCTCTGTCCTCCTGGTCTCTCTCCTCCTGGTCTCTGTCCTCCTGGTCTCTGTCCTCCTGGTCTCTGTCCTCCTGGTCTCTGTCCTCCTGGTCTCTCTCCTCCTGGTCTCTCTCCTCCTGGTCTCTCTCCTCCTGGTCTCTGTCCTCATGGTCTCTCTCCTCCTGGTCTCTGTCCTCATGGTCTCTCTCCTCCTGGTCTCTCTCCTCCTGGTCTCTGTCCTCCTGGTCTCTCTCCTCCTGGTCTCCTCCTGGTCTCTCTCCTCCTGGTCTCTCTCCTCCTGGTCTTTGTCCTCATGGTCTCTGTCCTCCTGGTCTCTCTCCTCCTGGTCTCCTCCTGGTCTCTCTCCTCCTGGTCTCTCTCCTCCTGGTCTCTGCCCACATGGTCTCTCTCCTCCTGGTCTCTGCCCACATGGTCTAAGTCACTTACGTGCCGCGGTCCCATCCAGCTCTCGGGTCTCGCACAGAACCAGTTTGTTTGGGTCCAGTGTGAACGGGTCTCTGTAGATCCGGACCGGGACCAGAGTCACCTCAATGGAGTCTGAGTCACAGCTGTAGGTGGCCTGCCACTCTGGTACATCTGCAACCAGGAAACTGTTACCAGAGAGGGACCAGAAGGAGACCAGGGAGAGACAAGAGAGAGACCAGGGAGACGAGAGAGAGAGAGACTAGAGAGAGACCAGAGAGAGACCGGAGAAGGACCAGAGAGAGAGACCAGAGAGAGAGAGAGACCAGAGAGAGAGACTAGAGAGACACGAGAGAGAGACCGGAGAGAGAGAGACCAGAGAGAAACCAGGGAGAGACCAGAGAGAGAGAGACTAGAGAGAGACCAGGGAGAGACCTGAGAGAGACCGGAAAGATAGACCAGAGAGAGAGAGACTAGAGAGAGACCAGAGAGAGACCGGAGAGATGGACCAGAGAGAGAGACCGGAGAGATGGACCAGAGAGAGAAACCAGAGAGAGAGACCAGAGAGAGAGAGACCAGAGAGAGAGACCAGAGAGAGAAACCAGAGAGAGAGACCAGAGAGAGACCAGAGAGAGAGACCGGAGAGATGGACCAGAGAGAGACCAGAGAGAGAGACCAGAGAGAGAGAGACCAGAGAGAGAGACCAGAGAGAGAAACCAGAGAGAGAGACCAGAGACCGGAGAGATGGACCAGAGAGAGACCAGAGAGAGAGAAACCAGAGAGAGAGACCAGAGAGAGAGAGACCAGAGAGAGAGAGACTAGAGAGAGACCTGGGAGAGAGAGAGACCAGAGAGAGACCGGAAAGATAGACCAGAGAGAGAGAGACTAGAGAGAGAGAGACTAGAGAGAGACCAGAGAGAGAGACCGGAGAGAGACCAGAGAGAGACCAGAGAGAGTCCAGAGAGAGAGACCGGAGAGAGACCAGAGAGAGACCAGAGAGAGAGTCCAGAGAGAGAGACCAGAGAGAGACCAGAGAGAGAGACCAGATAGAGAGACCAGAGAGAGACCAGAGAGAGAGACCAGAGAGAGAAACCAGAGAGAGAAACCAGAGAGAGAGACCAGAGATAGACCAGAGAGAGACCAGAGAGAGAGACCAGAGAGAGAGACCAGAGAGAGACCAGAGAGAGAGACTAGAGAGAGAGAGACCAGGGAGAGACCAGCGAGAGAGAGACTAGAGAGAGACCGGAAAGATAGACCAGAGAGAGAGAGACTAGAGAGAGAGAGAGACTAGAGAGAGACCAGAGAGAGACCAGAGGGAGAGACCAGAGAGAGAGAGACCAGAGAGAGACCAGAGAGAGTCCAGAGAGAGAGACCGGAGAGAGAGTCCAGAGAGAGAGACCAGAGAGAGACCAGAGAGAGACCAGAGAGAGAGACCAGAGAGAGAAACCAGAGAGAGAAACCAGAGAGAGAGACCAGAGAGAGACCCGAGAGAGAGACCAGAGAGAGACCAGAGAGAGAGACCAGAGAGAGAAACCAGAGAGAGAAACCAGAGAGAGAGACCAGAGAGAGACCAGAGAGAGACCAGAGAGAGACCAGAGAGAGAGACCAGAGAGAGAGACCAGAGAGAGACCAGAGAGAGAGACCAGAGAGAGAGAGACTAGAGAGAGAGAGAGACCAGAGAAAGAGAGACCAGAGAGAGACCAGGGAGAGACCAGAGAGAGAGAGACTAGAGAGAGAGAGAGAGACTAGAGAGAGACCAGAGAGAGACCAGAGAGAGACCAGAGAGAGACCAGAGAGAGACCAGAGAGAGACCAGAGAGAGAGAGACCAGAGAGAGACCAGAGAGAGTCCAGAGAGAGAGACCGGAGAGAGACCGGAGAGAGAGTCCAGAGAGAGACCAGAGAGAGACCAGAGAGAGTCCAGAGAGAGAGACCAGAGAGAGACCAGAGAGAGAGACCAGAGAGAGAGACCAGAGAGAGAAACCAGAGAGAGAGACCAGAGAGAGACCCGAGAGATAGACCAGAGAGAGACCAGAGAGAGAGACCAGAGAGAGAGACCAGAGAGAGAGACCAGAGAGAGAGACCAGAGAGAGACCAGAGAGAGAGACCAGAGAGAGAGAGAGACCAGAGAGAGAGACTAGAGAGACCAGAGAGAGAGACCGAGAGAGAGAGACCAGAGAGACCAGGGAGAGACCAGAGAGAGAGAGACTAGAGAGAGACCAGAGAGAGAGACCAGAGAGAGACCAGAGAGAGACCAGAGAGAGACCAGAGAGAGACCAGAGAGAGAGAGACCAGAGAGAGACCAGAGAGAGAGACCAGAGAGAGACCAGAGAGAGAAACCAGAGAGAGAGACCAGAGAGAGAGACCCGAGAGATAGACCAGAGAGAGACCAGAGAGAGAGAGACCAGAGAGAGACCAGAGAGAGAGCCAGAGAGAGAGACCAGAGAGATTGACCAGAGAGAGACCAGAGAGAGACCAGAGAGAGAGAGACCAGAGGAGACCAGAGAGAGACCAGAGAGAGAGACCAGAGAGAGACCAGAGAGAGAGTCCAGAGAGAGACCAGAGAGAGACCAGAGAGAGACCAGAGAGAGAGACCAGAGAGAGAGACCAGAGAGAGAGACCAGAGAGAGAGACCAGAGAGAGAGACCAGAGAGAGAGACCAGAGAGAGAGACCAGAGAGAGACCAGAGAGAGACCAGAGAGACCAGAGAGAGAGACCAGAGAGAGAGACCAGAGAGAGAAACCAGAGAGAGAGACCAGAGAGAGACCAGAGAGATAGACCAGAGAGAGACCAGAGAGAGAGACCAGAGAGAGACCAGAGTGAGAGTCCAGAGAGAGAGACCGGAGAGATTGACCAGAGAGAGACCAGAGAGAGACCGGAGAGAGACCAGAGAGAGACCAGAGAGAGACCAGAGAGAGACCAGAGAGAGACCAGAGAGAGACCAGAGAGAGACCAGAGAGAGAGACCAGAGAGAGTAACTAACCCTCTCTCTGGTCTCTCTCTGGTCTCTCTCTGGTCTCTCTCTGGTCTCTCTCTCTGGTCTCTCTCTGGTCTCTCTCTGGTCTCTCTCTCTGGTCTCTCTCCCTGGTCTCTCTCTGGTCTCTCTCTGGTCTCTCTCCCTGGTCTCTCTCTGGTCTCTCTCTGGTCTCTCTCCCTGGTCTCTCTCTGGTCTCTCTCTGGTCTCTCTCCCTGGTCTCTCTCTGGTCTCTCTCTGGTCTCTCTCTGGTCTCTCTCTCTGGTCTCTCTCCCTGGTCTCTCTCTGGTCTCTCTCTGGTCTCTCTCTCTGGTCTCTCTCTGGTCTCTCTGGTCTCTCTCTCTGGTCTCTCTCTGGTCTCTCCCTGGTCTCTCTCCCTGGTCTCTCTCTGGTCTCTCTCTCTGGTCTCTCTCTGGTCTCTGAGGTTTAGGTAGCGGTTGTTTGTCTGGTCTCGGAGTCTGTTGTGCGGGCCTGGATCCGGACTAGCTTAGCCTAGCCTAGCTTAGCCTAGCCTAGCCGCTAACTCGCTACTATGGCGGCTGCTGTCTCTCCCTCAGTCCTTTACTGCTCGAGTTGCCATATGGCGAGTCTAAACCCTGGATCCTTCTCTGAGGGTAGTGATAGATGTGTGAAGTGAAGTGTAGTCGTAGCTCTGGAATCCAGGGTCAGTGAGTTAGAGCTGCGTCTCCGAGCACTGGAGTCTCGAGCTAGCGCTAGCATTAGCTACAGCCATTAGCTACAGCCATTAGCTACAGCCATTAGCTACAGCCATTAGCTACAGCCATTAGCTACAGCCATTAGCTACAGCCATTAGCTACAGCCATTAGCTACAGCCATTAGCTACAGCCATTAGCTACAGCCAGGCCGCATCCTCAGGGACAGCGGAGCCTTTAGGGAAAGGCAGAGGAGAACTAGCGAGCCTAGCCTCCCAGCCCGTCCTCTGCAGCTGGGACAAGACCAGGGTCCTCTGCAGCTGGGACAAGACCAGGGTCCTCTGCAGCTGGGACAAGACCAGGGTCCTCTGCAGCTGGGACAAGACCAGGGTCCTCTGCAGCTGGGACAAGACCAGGGTCCTCCGCAGCTGGGACAAGACCAGGGTCCTCTGCAGCTGGGACAAGACCAGGGTCCTCCGCAGCTGGGACAAGACCAGGGTCCTCTGCAGCTGGGACAAGACCAGGGTCCTCTGCAGCTGGGACAAGACCAGGGTCCTCTGCAGCTGGGACAAGACCAGGGTCCTCTGCAGCTGGGACAAGACCAGGGTCCTCTGCAGCTGGGACAAGACCAGGGTCCTCTGCAGCTGGGACAAGACCAGGGTCCTCTGCAGCTGGGACAAGACCAGGGTCCTCTGCAGCTGGGACAAGACCAGGGTCCTCCGCAGCTGGGACAAGACCAGGGTCCTCTGCAGCTGGGACAAGACCAGGGTCCTCTGCAGCTGGGACAAGACCAGGGTCCTCTGCAGCTGGGACAAGACCAGGGTCCTCTGCAGCTGGGACAAGACCAGGGTCCTCTGCAGCTGGGACAAGACCAGGGTCCTCTGCAGCTGGGACAAGACCAGGGTCCTCTGCAGCTGGGACAAGACCAGGGTCCTCTGCAGCTGGGACAAGACCAGGGTCCTCCGCAGCTGGGACAAGACCAGGGTCCTCCGCAGCTGGGACAAGACCAGGGTCCTCTGCAGCTGGGACAAGACCAGGGTCCTCTGCAGCTGGGACAAGACCAGGGTCCTCTGCAGCTGGGACAAGACCAGGGTCCTCTGCAGCTGGGACAAGACCAGGGTCCTCTGCAGCTGGGACAAGACCAGGGTCCTCTGCAGCTGGGACAAGACCAGGGTCCTCTGCAGCTGGGACAAGACCAGGGTCCTCTGCAGCTGGGACAAGACCAGGGTCCTCTGCAGCTGGGACAAGACCAGGGTCCTCCGCAGCTGGGACAAGACCAGGGTCCTCCGCAGCTGGGACAAGACCAGGGTCCTCTGCAGCTGGGACAAGACCAGGGTCCTCTGCAGCTGGGACAAGCCAGGGTCCTTGCGCTGGACAAGACCAGGGTCCTCTGCAGCTGGGACAAGACCAGGGTCCTCTGCAGCTGGGACAAGACCAGGGTCCTCTGCAGCTGGGACAAGACCAGGGTCCTCTGCAGCTGGGACAAGACCAGGGTCCTCTGCAGCTGGGACAAGACCAGGGTCCTCCGCAGCTGGGACAAGACCAGGGTCCTCTGCAGCTGGGACAAGACCAGGGTCCTCTGCAGCTGGGACAAGACCAGGGTCCTCTGCAGCTGGGACAAGACCAGGGTCCTCTGCAGCTGGGACAAGACCAGGGTCCTCTGCAGCTGGGACAAGACCAGGGTCCTCTGCAGCTTCAGGGCCACGTGTTGTTGGTAGCTGTATTATGTTATATATTATACAATATATGTATTATGTTATATATTATGTTATATATTATACAATATATGTATTATGTTATATATTATGTTATATATTATACAATATATGTATTATGTTATGTATTGTGTTGTGTTGTATATTATGTTATATATTATGCTGTATGTTATGTTATGTATTATATATGATATATATGGTATGCATGGTATATATGATGTATATGATATATAATCAGTGATGGGCAAGCTACTCTACAATAAATTCAGCTTCACTGCACAGAAGCTACCACCCATACAAATGTAGCAAGCTAAGTTACAAAATTCTGTCAAAAGTAGCTTGCTATATAGAAGCTATTTTCAATTAAACAAACTGCAGTTCATGCAATTTTATATTTTCCTGCATTAACATGTTTTCTCATTTCTTATACATAGTTCCCACATGACGTCACTACATACGGGGATTTGCCGACCCGGCGCCATTTGTGTTGGCATGCTGTGGGCAAAACAATAGAAAAAGAAGCTGAAACGTGTTAATGTCGTGATAAAGTTGAAAATGGTCATCTCCTGCTGGGTCAATGGATGTTCAAATCGTGCCGGAGGTTCCGTTAAACTTGGATTTTACAGTATACCCATCATTAGACTTCATGAATGTGAGAAGACTAAGCTTTTGTCAGAACAACCACGGAGGTTATGGCTTGCGAAGATAAACAGGCAAGAAACTCCCTCAAAACACGCAAGAATATGCTCGGAGCACTTTGTGTCAGGTGCGTATCGTATCTTATAATGTGTTGACAGACGTAATTTACTCAGTACTAACTTGTGTATGCTGATATCTGGTAACTTGAGAGTTTCATTATTTAGATTACTTTATTATGAGGAGGATCGGTGTCGCGTCCGAGGCTCTCGAGGGCAACGTAAATGTATTAAATAGATAATAATAGTTCTATGGTGGGCTAAAACAATGTTCACAAACAGCATTGCTTCTGTAAAAAGATCTGTGTCATAAAATAAACTGCTCTTTATGCCTGGAAAAATCAGTTGCCCACCATTCACCAAAACATACGGTCAAAAACGCGGAAATAAACAATAACAGCAATCCAGAGTGTCCGTGTGGCATTAGTAAACACAGCGGCGTGCCATCAAAGATGGCGTCTCCGAGGAGGTCATGTGACATTCATTGGTCTGTGGGAACTATGTATTTTTTGCACAATTCTTGAGTGTTTTATCCATGCCAAATGTGACATGTAAATGTCTCCTGTGTGAGATTAATAAAGCTTATCTTCTTTGAGATAAACTGTCAGTCAGATAAAGGTTAAAATGTTGTAGATATTTATTGAACAATAGCCCAAAACACCAAAAACAACAAAGAGTAGGCATCTGAAAACATATTTCTTTTGGCTCATCTCGACTAGAGTGACGTACTTTTGGAGGTATGGCCACGGTACAACACTTTGAGAGTCCTTATCATGGTCCTCCTCCACCGCGGCGGCTCCTGGGCTCTCTGCCGTGTGTGTGTGTGTGTGTGTGTGTGCGCGTACGTTCGTGTGTGTGTCGTTACCAAGCCCTGCGCATCAGCATTCTGTCTTTCTATATGTTTTTTTATGCTGCGGGAAAATGCTGTAATATATGAACATCAGAGATGTCCGTGAGAAAATAGCTTTGGCGGACGCTACCGCGCTACTTGAGCAATAATATAGCTTAGCTACAGAAAAGTTACTAGGTTTTGTAAATAGTGACGCTACTGTCAAGCTACTGAAAAATGTAGTTAAGCTAGTAGCGACGCTACTGCCCATCACTGTATATAATATATAATTAGGTTTGTTTGGATCGGTTTGGCACGCCTGGTGTGCAGTCCATGGCTGTGTACAAAACGGTAGGCATCGGGCCGCGTAGGGGAGATATGTAGGCATCGTGACGTCACTTCCGCAAGCGACGGCTATTGCAGGGGTGTCCAAAACCACTTGGCGAGCTCGCCAAGCGTAGGCATCATGACTTCGTCTCCATGGAAACGGCCACTTTTGGAGCAGATATGAAGGATGCATCTGATGTATGCTTCACTGCCTTCTTTTTGCCAAGTCACGGCCGCGCATGCGCAGAACTCCGTTCGGCATTAACATGTAAACAACAACTCGGACCTGCTGGAGCTAACATTATGGTAAGCACTATACTTTACTGTGAAGTTATGTCTATAGTAAGTACTGCTATACTTTACTGTGAAGTTATGTCTATAGTAAGTACTGCTATACTTTACTGTGAAGTTATGTCTATAGTAAGTACTGCTATACTTTACTGTGAAGTTATGTCTATAGTAAGTACTGCTATACTTTACTGTGAAGTTATGTCTATAGTAAGTACTGCTATACTTTACTGTGAAGTTATGTCTATAGTAAGTACTGCTATACTTTACTGTGAAGTTATGTCTATAGTAAGTACTGCTATACTTTACTGTGAAGTTATGTCTATAGTAAGTACTGCTATACTTTACTGTGAAGTTATGTCTATAGTAAGTACTGCTATACTTTACTGTGAAGTTATGTCTATAGTAAGTACTGCTATACTTTACTGTGAAGTTATGTCTATAGTAAGTACTGCTATACTTTACTGTGAAGTTATGTCTATAGTAAGTACTGCTATACTTTACTGTGAAGTTATGTCTATAGTAAGTACTGCTATACTTTACTGTGAAGTTATGTCTATAGTAAGTACTGCTATACTTTACTGTGAAGTTATGTCTATAGTAAGTACTGCTATACTTTACTGTTGAGTTATGTCTATAGTAAGCACTGCTATACTTTACTGTGAAGTTATGTCTATAGTAAGTACTGCTATACTTTACTGTGAAGTTATGTCTATAGTAAGTACTGCTATACTTTACTGTGAAGTTATGTCTATAGTAAGTACTGCTATACTACTGTGAAGTTATGTCTATAGTAAGCACTGCTATACTTTACTGTGAAGTTATGTCTATAGTAAGCACTGCTATACTTTACTGTGAAGTTATGTCTATAGTAAGTACTGCTATACTTTACTGTGAAGTTATGTCTATAGTAAGTACTGCTATACTTTACTGTGAAGTTATGTCTATAGTAAGTACTGCTATACTTTACTGTGAAGTTATGTCTATAGTAAGTACTGCTATACTTTACTGTGAAGTTATGTCTATAGTAAGTACTGCTATACTTTACTGTGAAGTTATGTCTATAGTAAGTACTGCTATACTTTACTGTGAAGTTATGTCTATAGTAAGTACTGCTATACTACTGTGAAGTTATGTCTATAGTAAGTACTGCTATACTTTACTGTTGAGTTATGAACACGACTGTTATGATAAAACACAGACATAAATTAGATCTGCCACAGATGTGTGTATTTAACCTTGTTATCTGCTGTAAATAAGCTCAGTCCTGAAAAGCTAATGCTACGAGGCTAGTTCATTCAGATTCGGTTTTTGAACAAGAAAAATCATGTTGTGTTTTATCTTTTAGGGAGAAACAAACCCACTGATTAAATATTAAAGCTACACTGAGGAAAGTCACGTTTTCATGGAAAATTACTCTGCAGCACAGCAGCTATAGTATGCTAACACATGTTTTCTGTATTCATATAAAATAGATTGTGCATATCGTTTTTAATCCCACACTGAGACTGGGAAAACTGTATATATTAGACATATGAAATTATAGAATAGACCAAGAATAATTATAAAGCCCTTTTCATACAATAGTCTAATAAATAGTAAACACACATTATACAGAGGTTTCGTTTGTCATGAATAAGACATTTGCAGAGGACAAAGTCCCACTTCCACAAACACAGGTTTAAAGTGGTTAGCCATGCTCATAACTTGATTATTTGTGTATATTTCTATCATATCATTCTTCTGTTTCCCCTGCTGTGAAACTTGTATCTCTAATATTAAATACTGTAAGGATTTCTGTATTTTATTTTTAACCAGTTTTTTGCAAAGCCCCAAATAAATAGTATTAGTTGAATATGAAGTGTGAAAAGAATCCTAAATGTGGGCTGTGTTTTAATGCATGATGTTTGTGTTCTTCTTTTTCAGAGACTTGTGGTGAAATTAAGGTCATAATTTCCCCAGCTTCACCTCCATCACCTCCTGCTTCACCTCCATCACCTCCTGCTTCACCTCCATCACCTCCTGCTTCACCTCCATCACCTCCTGCTCCACCTCCATCACCTCCTGCTTCACCTCCATCACCTCATCACCACATTATGAACTACAACAAACTTGTATATAATATTTTCCTTTAATCAGCAATCATGAATAGTTAGAACAGTGGGCTCTGCATCAAGACATGTAGCAGAAGGAGCAGCAGCAGAAGGAGCAACAGGAGGAGTAACAGGAGGAGTAACAGCTGCAGCAGAAGGAGCAACAGGAGGAGTAACAGCTGCAGCAGAAGGAGCAACAGGAGGAGTAACAGCTGCAGCAGAGGGAGCAACAGGAGGAGTAACAGCTGCAGCAGAAGGAGCAACAGGAGGAGTAACAGCTGCAGCAGAAGGAGCAACAGGAGGAGTAACAGCAGCAGCAGAGGGAGCAACAGGAGGAGTAACAGCAGCAGCAGAAGGAGCAACAGGAGGAGCAGCAGCAGCAGCAGCAGGAGCAGCAGCAGCAGCAGCAGCAGCAGCAGTAGCAGGAGCAGCAGCAGAGTCCTGGGCGTCTGCCTCTGACACAGGTCTCATCGACAGCACTTCACAGAGAACCTGGAAATAAAGAAAATAAATCAAACTTGTTGGTTTTATTATGATTTTGTTGTTTGTGTGAAATGTAAAGAGTCATCAAAGTGAGGTATTATTTACACAACTACATATTTGTCAGCAGTACTTATACTTATACTTATAATTGAATACATCAAACTCAAATGTGATTAGTAACGGTCTGTTAGCTTTTCAAGAGATATAAAAGTGAATAAGAGCAGTGTCAAACATCTGTGTTCAACTCCATTTTACAGATGTCTGTTAATGTTTCCATGTGTCAGTTATTATTATAGATCCATGGATGTGTCAGTTATTATTATAGATCCATGGATGTGTCAGTTATTATTATAGATCCATGGATGTGTCAGTTATTATTATAGATCCATGGATGTGTCAGTTATTATTATAGATCCATGGATGTGTCAGTTATTATTATAGATCCATGGATGTGTCAGTTATTATTATAGATCCATGGATGTGTCAGTTATTATTATAGATAAATGGATGTGTCAGTTATTATTATAGATCCATGGATTTTCCAGTTATTATTATAGATAAATGGATGTGTCAGTTATTATTATAGATCCATGGATGTGTCAGTTATTATTATAGATCCATGGATGTGTCAGTTATTATAGATCCATGGATTTTCCAGTTATTATTATAGATAAATGGATGTGTCAGTTATTATTATAGATCCATGGATGTGTCAGTTATTATTATAGATCCATGGATGTGTCAGTTATTATTATAGATCCATGGATGTGTCAGTTATTATTATAGATCCATGGATGTGTCAGTTATTATTATAGATCCATGGATGTGTCAGTTATTATTATAGATCCATGGATGTGTCAGTTATTATTATAGATCCATGGATGTGTCAGTTATTATTATAGATCCATGGATGTGTCAGTTATTATTATAGATCCATGGATGTGTCAGTTATTATCATAGATCCATGGATGTGTCAGTTATTATTATAGATCCATGGATGTGTCAGTTATTATTATAGATCCATGGATGTGTCAGTTATTATTATAGATCCATGGATGTGTCAGTTATTATTATAGATCCATGGATGTGTCAGTTATTATTATAGATAAATGGATGTGTCAGTTATTATAGATCCATGGATTTTCCAGTTATTATTATAGATAAATGGATGTGTCAGTTATTATTATAGATCCATGGATGTGTCAGTTATTATTATAGATCCATGGATGTGTCAGTTATTATTATAGATCCATGGATGTGTCAGTTATTATTATAGATCCATGGATGTGTCAGTTATTATTATAGATAAATGGATGTGTCAGTTATTATTTTAGATAAATGGATGTGTCAGTTATTATTATAGATCCATGGATGTGTCAGTTATTATTATAGATCCATGGATGTGTCAGTTATTATTATAGATAAATGGATGTGTCAGTTATTATTTTAGATAAATGGATGTGTCAGTTATTATTATAGATCCATGGATGTGTCAGTTATTATTATAGATAAATGGATGTGTCAGTTATTATTATAGATAAATGGATGTGTCAGTTATTATTATAGATCCATGGATGTGTCAGTTATTATTATAGATAAATTGATGTGTCAGTTATTATTATAGATAAATGGATGTTTCTCTCTCATCAGCAAACACACGTTAATACATTTAGTTCTGATAAAATTACTTTTAAGTGATGCACAAACGAGGGCCATAGCAAATATATAATCCATATCTAATAATCATTTATTGCATATATGTGCATTGTTTACATAAAATATAATTTTGTAAAAACTAATGATTACTGTCAATACTGTTGTTATAACAGAGAAAGTGTAACAACAAAAGCATCCTCTGTTTTTTCAGAATACGATTGTAAACATCCAGGGGGCTCTCATTACCTGAACCCGTGTTTAGACAGCCTGTTCTGGGCTTCAGCACTGCAGCTAACTGGGCTGTTAGCTTATAGCACCGGAGCTTCAGGCTGGAGGTAAAGTCCGAACATTTTCGAATTTATCTCCAAACAGACCCCTGATATGACAATAAAGGGGGATATTTCTCGCCTCAAATGATATTAGAATTAACTTTTATGTCCTAATTAAAGCGTATTTAGAACTTTTTACCGTCCATCATGGCCGCCGTGTCCTTCCGCTCCGCTCTGAGTTGTGTAGTCACGTGACGAAGGCAGAAGGCAGCTGCTGTCCAAATCCACCTCAGGTCTCGCCTCCTACCTCGCCTCCTACCTCGCCTCCTACCTCGCCTCCTACCTCGCCTCCTACCTCGCCTCCTACCTCGCCTGTGGCTACGCGGCCTTCCCTCGATGCCTACATATCCACCCTACGCGGCCCGATGCCTACCGTTTTGGACACAGCCCGTGAATCTTGGTGCTGTAGCCTGGGCTAGCCTAGCCTAGCCTAGCCGTGGCTGCTGCTGTCTCGCCTCCTTTCAGATACGCTCTCTTTATTCAAGGCTAGGTTTAAAACAGTCCTCTTTAGTTTAGCATATGGCTAGGAAGGTAAGACTCAGGGAAGGTTAAACTCCTCAGACTGTCAGTCAAGCTGCATAGGGAGCCCCCTGCTGGAGAAGTATGGTAACTTGAGCACTATCCTCTCCTCCTTCCTACTTTATCTGTTTAGCATTTTTAGGATTTTGACTGTAGTTTGTTCATTGCTATTCACCCGTTGTCCCATTGTCTGTTTCATGGTACGATGACGGGATCTCTGAGCCTGGCCTCTTCCATCTACACCTGCGGACTGCCCCGCCCGACCCGCCTGGGAGTGCTTCAGTCCTGCACCGGACCTGTCCACGTTCAGCGTCCACTGGTCCACGTCCTGTAGCTAGCTTAGGTCCTGGATCATTAGCCTGTCCGTCCGGAGGAGCGGATCCCTTTCTCATATGGGTCTCCCTCCCTGTGGGTTTCCCTAGTTCTCCCCAAGGTTTCTCACTTTTTCCCACTGGGTTTTTTAAGAGTTTTTCCTTGTCGATGCAGGAGGGTCTTGTTGGACAGTTAGTGTCCAACAGAAAGGATTGGTGATGATCAGGACACTTTAGCATTCTACAACATGTATGGACATTTTCTTCTGTGTGTGCTTTATACTGTATTCTTCATGTGTTTTAACTGTTGATTCTCTGACCTGTGTTGGTGATTTCAATGGTTTTGTTAAGTCTCTGAGATGACTTCTGTTGTGACCTAGGGCTATACAAGAATACATTCTATTGTATTGGTCTCTCTCTCTCTGGTCTCTCAGTATTACTGCAGTATTACTGCAGTATTACTGCATTATTACTGCAGTAATAATGCAGTATTACTGCATTATTACTGCAGTAATACTGCATTATTACATATCCATCTGATCGTTCTGCCATTCATCAGTCACTTTACCTGTTGATATAGTTTCTAATGTTTATTCTGCTCATATTCTCCACTGCTAAAGTACAATATACACATCTGTAAATACTTCTGAACCACGTGACATTATAGCCCAGAGTTTATCTTATTTTATCTTATTCAATGTTATTGTCTATTATCTTAAATAATACTTATTTGATGTCTGGTCTGAGTGTTATGTCCTTCTTCCTCTGCTGTAATGTGCGACGATGACACTGACATTACTCCTGAGACCAGCAAAGGTTTACCTCACCATGACAAATACCAGGTGAGTAGGCGTACAGTAAGTACTTAATTACTGCTGTATTTCCGGTCCGTGCTCATTCCTCACATATCAGAGCAAATACAAATCAGTCGAAGAGTTTCTCTGACTTTTTCTCACGACAACAAATTATTGAAACACGAGACACGACACCATCAACACACTGCCTTTGTTTAACATCCTGCAACTGAGAGACTCAAGCAAACACCAGGAAGAGAGGATTAAGGACCATGTTTCTCTGGTCACAATCTCGGGTCTCTCTCTCTGGTCTCACTCTGGTCCCTCCCTAGTCTCTCCCATTTCTCTCTGGTGTTTCTCTGGTCTCTCTCTGGTTTCTCTCTGTTCTCTCTCTGGTCTCTCTCTGGTCTCTCTCTGGTCTCTCTCTGGTCTCTCTCTGTTCTCTCTCTGGTCTCTCTCTGGTCTCTCTCTGGTCTCTGCCTCTGGTCTCTCTCTGGTCTCTCTCTCTGGTTTCTGGTCTCTCTCTGGTTTCTCTCTGGTCTCTCTCTGGTCTCTCCCTGGTCTCTCTCTCTGGTCTCTCTCTGGTTTCTCTCTCTGGTCTCTCTCTGGTCTCTCTCTGGTCTCTCTGGTTTCTCTCTGGTCTCTCTCTGGTCTCTTCCTGGTCTCTCTCTCTGGTCTCTCTCTGGTCTCTCTCTGGTCTCTTCCTGGTCTCTCTCTGGTCTCTCTCTGGTCTCTCTCTGGTGTTTCTCTGGTCTCTCCCTGGTCTCTCTCTCTGGTCCCTCTCTGGTCTCTCTCTGGTCTCTCTCTGGTCTCTTCCTGGTCTCTCTCTCTGGTCTCTCTCTGGTCTCTCTCTGGTCTCTTCCTGGTCTCTCTCTCTGGTCTCTCTCTGGTCTCTCTCTGGTCTCTCTCTGGTGTTTCTCTGGTCTCTCCCTGGTCTCTCTCTCTGGTCTCTCTCTCTGGTCTCTCTCTGGTCTCTCTCTGGTCTCTCTCTCTGGTCTCTCTCTGGTCTCTCCCTGGTCTCTCCCTGGTCTCTCCCTGGTCTTTCTCTCTGGTCTCTCTCTGGTCTCTCTCTCTGGTCTCTCTCTGGTCTCTCCCTGGTCTCTCCCTGGTCTCTCCCTGGTCTTTCTCTCTGGTCTCTCTCTGGTCTCTCTCTGGTCTCTCCCTGGTCTCTCCCTGGTCTCTCTCTGGTCTCTCTCTCTGGTCTCTCTCTCTGGTCTCTCTCTGGTCTCTCTCTGGTCTCTCTCTCTGGTCTGGTCTCTCTGGTCTCTCCCTGGTCTCTCCCTGGTCTTTCTCTCTGGTCTCTCTCTGTCCTCTCTCTCTGGTCTCTCTCTGGTCTCTCCCTGGTCTCTCCCTGGTCTCTCCCTGGTCTTTCTCTCTGGTCTCTCTCTGGTCTCTCTCTGGTCTCTCTGGTTAAACTTGACCATGTAGTCTTGCACTGACCTTTGATGGTCTTGGGTTCCGAGTCCAGAGTCCTGGTCTTGGACTTGACAGAGTGCCCGTGTTTGTTGATGTAGACGTACGTGACCTGAGATTGAGACGCGCTGCGGAGGGAGAGGTAGTGCATCCGAGTCAGTCTGTGCAGACTCAGGGTGTCCACTGGTAACAAGGACATGACCAGAAATACACTGAACAGAAGGAGACCAGAGAGACCAGAGAGACGAGGACTAGGACTGAGAGTATCTCTGGAGCACAGACACTGATGAGTCCGAGGAGGAGGAGGAGCCTGTTTGAGAGAGAACAGGTTTAACTCAGGTGAGGCTCAGGCGAGGCTCTCTCTGGTCTCTCTCTCTGGTCTCTCTCTCTGGTCTCTCTCTCTGGTCTCTCTCTCTGGTCTCTCTCTAGTCTCTCTCTGGTCTCTCTCTAGTCTCACTCTGGTCTCTCCCTTGTCTCTCTCTCGCTGGTCTCTCTGGTCCCTCTCTGGTCCCTCTCTGGTCCCTCTCTGGTCTCTTTCTCTGGTCTTCCTCTTTTGTCTCTCTCTGGCCCCTCTGGTCTAGACCAGGGGTCGGCAACCCGCGGCTCCGGAGCCGCATGCGGCTCTTGAGTGGCTCCTGGAGTGGCTCCTGGAGCCTTTTCAAAAATGTCTGAAAATGGAGTGTGAGGGCTATATTTTATTTCTAGTTTGAATGTGGTTTCTGTAGAAGGAAAAACAATCTTTACGTTTTTAAATGCTGTAAAAATATGTATAAGTAATATCTAATTTCAACATTTCTGTCAACGTAGTGCGTCATATCCTATGACGCGCGGTCACGCGGCCCCGCCCCCTTCAGCCGCTGCTGTAAACAAACCGGCGTGTGAGCATCATAGACTGTAAGTGCACATGGATCCCAAAGATAAAAACCGAGGTGAAGTTGGCCGAACGTTTGATATTCGCCTGATATTCGCAAGGGACCGTCTGCAAATTGCAAGAGGTCAAAACGACTAATAAAGACTAAAAATCAACAAAGATATTTTTCCCAGAATTGATGGGTGTAGTAGCTCCCATTTAATGATAGCTAGCTACTACAGCCAAACTTTTGGGAAAAATATGGTTTTCCCCTTCACAGTAACAAAAATGAAATTGGAAAAATGTACTAAAAATCAACAAAGACAGTTTTCCCAGTTTTGATGGGTGTAGTAGCTCCATTTGAGCAATAGCTAGCTACTACAGGCAAGATTTTGGGAAAAATATGGTTTTCCCCTTCACAGTAACAAAAATGAAATTGGAAAAATTTACTAAAAATCAACAAAGACTTTTCCCCCAGATTTGATGGGTGTAGTAGCTCCCATTCAATGATAGCTAGCTACTACAGGCAAGAATTTGGGAAACATATTGTTTTCCCCTTCACAGTAACGAAAATGAAATTGGAAAAATTTACTAAAAATCAACAAAGACAGTTTTCCCAGTTTTGATGGGTGTAGTAGCTCCATTTGAGCAATAGCTAGCTACTACAGGCAAGAATTTGGGAAAAATATGGTTTTCCCCTTCACAGTAACGAAAATGAAATTGGAAAAATTCACTAAAAATCAACAAAGACTTTTCCCCCAGTTTTGATGGGTGTAGTAGCTCCCAATGAACAATAGCTAGCTACTACAGGCAAGAATTTGGGAAAAATATTGTTTTCCCCTTGACAGTAATGAAAATGAAACTGGAAAAATGTACTAAAAATCAACAAAGACTTTTCCCCCAGATTTGATGGGTGTAGTAGCTCCCATTCAATGATAGCTAGCTACTACAGCCAAACTTTTGGGAAAAATATGGTTTTCCCCTTCACAGTAACAAAAATGAAATTGGAAAAATTCACTAAAAATCAACAACAACTTTTTTCCCAGATGGGCGGCACGGTGGCTGAGTGGATAGCACTCTCGCCTCTCAGCAAGAAGGTCCTGGGTTCGAATCCCGGTCGGACCAGGGCCTTTCTGAGTGGAGTTTGCATGTTCTCCCCGTGTCTGCGTAGGTTTCCTCCGGGTACTCCGGTTTCCCCTACCACTAAAAATATGTCCAATAGTTCTGGCATGCGCCTCCTGTACTGGCCCCGCTCCCATCTCTGTGTGGAGTGAGAGACAAATGCCCAAAATTAACAATTGTAAACCGCTTTGAGACTCAGCTCTGCAGTGTAAAGGCGGTATATAAATAAAAACTTACTTACTTACTATTTGAGGGGTGTAGTAGCTCCAATTGAACAATAGCTAGCAACTACAGGCAAGAATTTGGAAATATATATATATACAGTGGGGCAAAAAAGTATTCAGTCAGCCACCGATTGTGCAAGTTCTCCCACTTAAAATAATGAAAGAGGTCTGTCATTTTCATCATAGGTACATTTAAACTGTGAGAGACATAATGTGAAAAAAAAAATCCAGGAATTGACATTTTTAAAGAATTTATTTGTAAATTATGGTGGAAAGTAGGTATTTGGTCAATAACAAAAATTCAACTCAATACCTTGTAATATAACCTTTGTTGGCAATAACAGAGGTCAAACGATAACTATAGGTCTTTATCAGGTTTGCACACACAGTAGCTGGTATTTTGGCCCAACTCCCTCCACAGATTTTCAATGGGGTTGAGGTCTGGAGACTGGCGAGGCCACTCCAGGACTTTCAAATGCTTCTTACGGAGCCACTCCTTCGTTGCCCGGGCGGTGTGTTTGGGATCATTGTCATGCTGGAAGACCCAGCCACGTTTCATCTTCAAAGCTCTCACTGATGGAAGGAGGTTTTAGCTCAAAATCTCCCAATACAGGGCCCCGTTCATTCTTTCCTTAACACGGATCAGTCGTCCTGTCCCCTTAGCAGAAAAACAGCCCCAAAGCATGACGTTTCCACCCCCATGCTTCACAGTAGGTATGGTGTTCTTGGGATGCAACTCAGTATTGTTCTTCCTCCAAACACGACGAGTTGAGTTTATACCAAACAGTTGTACTTTGGTTTCATCTGACCACATGGGTTTTTTTTTCAGTCTTATACAGTGACTTAAAGTGACTTATTGTACAGTCTGACAGCGGTGGGGATAAAGGCCCTGCGGTAGCGCTCCTTCCTACACTGAGGGTGTCTCAGTCTTCCACTGAAGGAGCTCCTCAGCTCCTCTACAGTCCTGTGCAGTGGGAGGTGTTGTTCATGAAGGAGGTGGCTTTGGCTAGCACCCTCCTGTCCCTCACCTCCTCCACAGAGTCCAGGGGCCTCCTGTCCCTCACCTCCTCCACAGAGTCCAGGGGCCTCCTGTCCCTCACCTCCTCCACAGAGTCCAGGGGCCTCCTGTCCCTCACCTCCTCCACAGAGTCCAGGGGCCTCCTGTCCCTCACCTCCTCCACAGAGTCCAGGGAGCAGCCCAGAGTGGAGCTGGCCCTCCTGACCAGCTTGTTCAGTCTGTTTCTGTCCCGCTCTGTGCTGCCCGGGGCCCAGCACACAGCAGCGTAGTAAATGGCAGAAGCTACCACAGAGTCATAAAAGGTCCTAAGCAGAGGCCTGCTCACTCCGAAGGACCTCAGCCTCCTCAGAAGGACCTCAGCCTCCTCAGAAGAAAGAGGCGACTTTGGCCCTTCTTGTGCAGGGCGTTTGTATTATGGGACCAGTCCAGTTTATTGTTAATGTGAACACCCAGGTACTTGAAGCTGTCCACCAGCTCAATGTCCTCCCCCTGGATGTTCAGCAGCGTGTGGGAAAGTGGTTTTATCCTGAAGTCGATGACCATCTCCTTGGTCTTACTGGTGTTCAAGCACAAGTGGTTGCGCTCACACCAGTCGACAAAGTCCTTGATAACCGACCGATATTCCAGTTTGTTCCCCTCAGACACACAGCCCTCGATGGCGGAGTCGTCGGAGAACTTCTGCAGGTGACAGCTGTGTGTGTCGTGTGTGAAGTCTGAGGTGTAGATGGTGAAGAGAAACGGTGAGAGGACAGTGCCCTGAGGGGCCCCAGTGCTGCAGACTACCACCTCAGACTCACAGCTGCGCAGCCGCACGTACTGTGGTCAGTCCGAGAGGTAGTTGATGGTCCATGCAGTGAGGCTACTGTCCACTCCCGCGTCCTCCATCTTCCCCCGCAGCAGTGCCGGTCTGATGGTGTTGAAAGCACTGGAGAAGTCGAAGAACATGACCCTCACAGCGCTCCCGGCAGGGATGACGGCGTCCTCTACTCCGATGTTGGGCCTGTAGACGAACTGCAGCGGGTCCAGGGTGGGGCTGACCACGGAGCGGAGATGGGTGAGGATGAGCCGCTCCATGGTCTTCGTCAGGTGGGAGGTCAGTGCGACTGGACTGTAGTGAGCCGGTTCCTTCGCGTGCTGTGTTTTAGGAACCGGGATCACACAGGAGGTCTTTCACAGGACAGGGACCTTCTCCAGGCTGAGGCTCAGGTTGTACATGTAGCTGAGGACCCCTGAGAGCTGGTCTGCACAGGTCCTCAGCAGCCTGGGACTGATCCCGTCCGGTCCTGCGGATTTCCTCTGCTTCAGTCGCTGGAGCTGACTCTTCACCGGGTCCGGTGTGATGGAAAGGGGGGGAGACTGGGGTGTATTTTCAGAGGTGGGGGGCGGGGATGTGGGGGCAGGAGGGCCCAGGGCAGCCAAAGGCAGTGTCCACTGGGCTGGGGACGTTTGAAGAGGTGGGGGCGGGAGGGGGGGGAGAATCAAACCGGTTGAAGAATTGGTTAAATTCATCTGTCCCGCTGGCCCTTTGTCCACAGAAAGAGATGTTCTTTAGGCCTCTCCACACGTCACGGGCGTTTCCCTGGGCCAGCTTCTGCTCCAGCTTTTTCCCATAGTCCTTCTTGGCCCTCCTGATCCTCCACTGGAGCTCGTGCTGGATCCTCTTCTGCTCCTCTTTGTCCCCTGAGATGAAAGCCCTTTTCTTGAGGTTCAGGAGGGCTTTAAGCTCATCCATGGGTGGTTGTTAGAAAAACACCGTACCTTCTTAGTTGGTACAGGGTTATAAGATAAGATAAGATAAGATTGCTTTATTTATCTCACAGAGGAGAAATTTACATGTCACATTTACATTATTCACACAGAAGAGGATATAGTCTGTAATACAGTGTGTCAGGCCAATATCATTATTCCTACTGTGAAGGGGAAAACATTTGTTTCCCCAAATTCTTGCCTGTAGTAGCTAGCTATCATTGAATGGGAGCTACTACACCCATCAAAACTGGGAAAAATATCTTTGTTGATTTTTAGTGAATTTTTCCAATTTCATTTTCGTTACTGTGAAGGGGAAAACCATATTTTTCCCAAATTCTTGCCTGTAGTAGCTAGCTATTGCTCAAATGGAGCTACTACACCCATCAAATCTGGGAAAAATGTCTTTGTTAATTTTTAGTGAATTTTTCCAATTTCATTTTCGTTACTGTGAAGGGGAAAACCATATTTTTCCCAAAGGTTTGGCTGTAGTAGCTAACCCTAACCCTAACCCTAACCCTACTCAGACCACCTTAACCCTAACCTTAACCATCTTACTCAGACCACCTTAACCCTAACCTTAACCATCTTACTCAGACCACCTTAACCCTAACCTTAACCATCTTACTCAGACGCCTAAAACTTAACCAGTCTCCACTTAAGGACTTATTAGTCTAAAACTAATTCGAAAGCAGGATTGTTACTTCCGGTTTCGTCCCAATTCCGTATGATCTAGTGCCGAACATGGAGAGACCAGATGCAGACATCTTGGAGAGACTGAAGGCAGACATCTTGGAGAGACTGAAGGCAGACATCTTGGAGAGACCAGGGGCGGACATCTCGGAGAGACCAGGGGCGGACATCTCGGAGAGACCAGGGGCGGACATCTCGGAGAGACCAGGGGCGGACATCTCGGAGAGACCAGGGGCGGACATCTCGGAGAGACCAGGGGCGGACATCTCGGAGAGACCAGGGGCAGACATCTCGGAGAGACCAGGGGCGGACATCTCGGAGAGACCAGGGGCGGACATCTCGGAGAGACCAGGGGCAGACATCTCGGAGAGACCAGGGGCCAAGCCCCGGCGATCCAAGATGGCGCCCTATTCAAATGAATGGTTGTGCTCAGTGGCGCTTTGTGACGGCATGGGGGCTGAAAGATTAGCGGAAGTCGCCTGAAACTCGCAAAGAACTTTGGGAAACTCTCCTGTATTTGGGCATCGTCTGGTCCTCCCGGTTCTGTGCAGTGGATGATCTCCCATAATGCATTGCGCCAAACACGCGTGTGTGGGTCTCACACCGGGTCTCACGCACGTGCACAGAGGGTCTCACGCACGTGCACAGAGGGTCTCACGCACGTGCACAGAGGGTCTCACGCACGTGCACAGAGGGTCTCACGCACGTGCACAGAGGGGCTCATGCACGTGCACAGAGGGTCTCACGCACGTGCACAGAGGGTCTCACGCACGTGCACAGAGGGGCTCGGCTCTGACCAATCAGAGCAGTTCATCAGAGCGGGAGTTAGAGCCAGAGCCAGAGGAGCAGAGTTTGTGGCACTAAAGTGTGGATTTAAACAAAACCGAAGGATTTAAGAAGAAAAAAAGTTCAGGATGAGTGACAAGGGACACTAACATCCCCACAAAATCTGACCTTTATGAAAGCTGTAGGTTCTCTGTCAGGTTCTCTGTCAGGTTCTCTGTCAGGTTCTCTGTCAGGTTCTCTGTCAGGTTCTCTGTCAGGTTCTCTGTCAGGTTCTCTGTCAGCTGAGGTCGAGCTGTTTTAATATGCATTGAGTTCTATGGGGAAAATGTCTGTGTAGCCCACGTGAATTTAGTCTGGTTCAGTCTGGTTCAGTCTGGTTCAGTCTGGTTCAGTCTGGTTCAGTCTGCAGTACCGCAAGAATCCCCTGAGCACATGAGTTATTCAGCTACAAGCTGTAATACCCTATCCAGTTAATATAATACATCCATGCCAGGGGCGGACATCTCGGAGAGACCGGAGGCAGACATCTTGGAGAGACCAGAGGCAGACATCTTGGAGAGACCGGAGGCAGACATCTTGGAGAGACCAGAGGCAGACATCTTGGAGAGACCAGAGGCAGACATCTTGGAGAGACCAGAGGCAGACATCTTGGAGAGACCAGAGGCAGACATCTTGGAGAGACCAGGGGCGGACTGTCACTCCCGTATTTGTCCCGGAAACCAGATTCGTCCGGAAGTTCAGTTTGCGCATGTCAAAAAGTTTAATATGTCCTTAAGTGGTGACTGGTTAAGTTTAGGCGTCTGATTAAGATGGTTAAGTTTAGGGTTAAGGCTGGGTTTGGGTTATTTTATGGGAATGGCTGGTTAAGTTTAGGCATGAATAGGTAGTTTTTTATATTTACTGCCGCTTCCGTCCAGATTCCGTGACGTAATCTACTGCTGCGTATGCTCATTGGATCAAACTGAACTTCCGGACGAATACGGGAGTGACACGGACATCTCGGAGAGACCAGAGGCAGACATCTTGGAGAGACCAGGGGCGGACATCTCGGAGAGACCGGAGGCAGACATCTTGGAGAGACCAGAGGCAGACATCTTGGAGAGACCAGGGGCGGACATCTTGGAGAGACCGGAGGCAGACATCTTGGAGAGACCAGGGGCGGACATCTTGGAGAGACCAGAGGCAGACATCTTGGAGAGACCAGAGGCAGACATCTTGGAGAGACCAGGGGCAGACATCTTGGAGAGACCAGGGGCGGACATCTTGGAGAGACCAGGGGCGGACATCTTGGAGAGACCAGGGGCAGACATCTTGGAGAAACCAGGGGCGGACATCTTGGAGAGACCAGAGGCAGACATCTTGGAGATTGATAACATGTCACTAAGGCAGGTAGCAGTTCTGAATAAACACCTACAGTAACTTGGCTTTTAAAAAAACCACAAACAAAAGTAGTTTGTTCATCGCTCTAAAGATTAAAACACTTTATACACAAAAGATAGATGCAGTTTTTATTTAGCGTCTGACTTCAGCAGATGGAAACTTCAACACTAAACGTGTATTTCTCAGATGGTGCATGATGACACCTGGTCATTCGGCTAACTGTGGAGCAGAGTGGTCTGGACCAGGATGGTGCAGACCAGGTATGGGTCACAGTCAGAGGAGGGGCGGCGGTCTTCCAGGTACCCCCTCCTGCCCTGGTTCACACAGGCGGGAATCCGGACGCTGCTTTTCCGGTCGGCAATGGCCCAGGTGAAGGTGTTGAAGTCTGGGTTCCAGGCCACGCCGTTCATACGCTGCTGGTTCCCCTGCTCACTGCCGTAAAGCTGCATGTGTTCAGTGTGACGCAGAGACAGACGCTCCACCGCCGACAAGATGTGACTGAAACAACACAATAAAAAATTAGTCTATTGCCAATGCAATTGTTACTATCAGAACCTCAAACTTGGGGAATATGCCTTTGCTCAAGCTGCAACCAAGCTTTAGCGTCACAATAGAGTAAACAATAGAATAGATTTTAATGGCGTAACCATAGATGCTTTCAAAAATAGAGATTATTTTTAGCCAAGGCTAATATCAAACGGTACAAGGCCAGTTCCTTCATATTATGTCTTAAAAGTATTTACTTCAAGGTAGATAAAAGTTTCTTTACAGTTTATGCACATTTTTATTAGAATGTCAAATTCACTTGTTTCAAACATTAGGGGGTATGTTGACATGCAAAGCTACTGAGATAGATTAATGAGATCGATTAGAGACCAACACAGATTCAAAAAACATTTGAACGCATTTTAATGTATTTGGGTAAAGGCACAAAAGTAGATATTTAGGTATTTTTGAGAAGTTAATAAAAACTGTTGATTTGTCAGCAACAGATAGAGAATCAACTACAGTTGTATAGGGACTGACCCCAGAGAACCTGCTATAATAGATTAGCCTCCTGTACGGATAATACCAATTGATTAACGATGTACATTTATCCCAAAACTGTCTTGAGAGGTGGAGTGACAGCACTCTGGTACAACAAAATGTGTTTGGAAAAAATGAGCAAAGCCCCACAAAAATGCACAAAGCCAATGATAATGACAGCAAACCACAGTAAGGACAGTATTTTTTAGATAAAAACATATGTTAAGAAGAGGCTAATTAAAAGCAAACTATGACAAAACATATTTGTAAATCGCTTAGAATAGTTTAAACAATAGTGAATAGATTCAGTGCATACATTACAGACGTGGTGAAGAAAGACTCAGAAGGACATAGCATTAGTCTTGAATGAGTTTAGTGAAGGACTGTTTTCGAATTGGTTTGTTGTGTGTTGTTTGTTTTCTTGTTATTAACTCTTTCACAGATAACGAGCCAGAAACCCAAGGCGATGATGGAAGAGTTCCCAGTCCGTCACCCAGACGGGTATTGAAAGGATTGTGACCTAAATTGGTTTATTTAGGTCAAAAGAGGGAATAATGCATCATCTCAAGAAATGCTGCCACACGTTGTTTATATTTTCAGTGATATCATATTACAGTGGGGGGGTCTAGTGAGTCAG